TTTATCATATCACTAAAAAAAAATGTTTTTACCAATAATTACTAATTTTAATGATGTCATTGATTTTTTAATTAGTTGGAAGAAGCTAAAGCTGCTGCAGAAGCTAATAAAAAATCTAAAAAGGGAAACACTGCAAAAAGAGGTCGTCCAAAGTAAATATGTATTAAAAAAATGATTTAAAAATCTTGGTTTCGTATTTTGATAATAACATATATGTATAATAATTTGAACTATTCTGTATTTTTTTTTTTATAATACCTTATACTTTTTATATTATATTAAGTTCTAGATTAATAAAAAAAAATTTTCATATACTTTTAGGCTTTTTCTTTTTTAGCTTACAGTCTATTAAGGACCTTAACTGCCATCAACTTTTATTTATGTCTATTTCTTTGATAAACTGTCTATAAAAAATATTTTGATCTATCGGCTTAATGGGTATTCGTTTATTATTTATTTTATTCATTAATGTTATTAATTAATTGATCATCTGCTCTTCATGCAGGACCAACCCATTCTAATATTTTTTTCTAATGAAAGAAAATATACCTTGTTTATTATATAATCACTTTATTTCCTCAAAGATTTTTTTATACACCTGCGTTTTTCGGTTAAAAATATATAGCTCGGAGCACTTTTCTATCAGTGATCATATTTGACAAGTGTAAAGCAATCAGAATGTAGAAGATTGAGCATCTCCTTGTTTTAGACTAAACATGCATGAAAAGTTTACTTTGTAGTGTTGAAAACCTCCATCCTTTAAATATATCTTAAATTAAAGCTTATTAGCTTCAATGCGAAGCGGAGAAGGTATTAATTTTACTATGATGTGTTTTTTTTTTTTTTTTTTATGTCTGTTGCCACTTTTTCTCAGCTCTCACTGGACCGATTTCTTTCAAAAATACGTCAAAAGATCACAAATCGTATCTAGTTGAAGACATTACCCTTAAAAATTGAAAAAAATTCCCTCGTTCCCCGCAAATGGGGGAAATATCCAAAAAAATTACAAATTTAAAAATCGACAAATTTTGTCATTTTTTTCAACTTTTTTTCTTAAAACTTCCATAACTTTTTCAAAAATCAACAAATCAACATCATTTTTTTTTATACTAAAACCTTAGATAATTACCTTTCATTTGATATCATTTTTTTGAAAATCTAACACTTAACCTGCTCATTGGGGGAGATTTAAAATAGCAACTTTTTTACAAAAACTAACTTTTTCAACTTAATTTTTGAAAATGTTCCGGAAATACTGCGTCCTTCAAACATATATCAAATTAAAGCTTATTTTATGTACTATAAAATGAAAAAAAAAAATTTGTCCCGACACTTTTTCTTCTACATTTAAACGGCTGCCGTAGTTAAAAAAACACTATTTTTGTGTTAAAATTTTCGATTTTNTCTATTAAGGACCTTAACTGCCATCAACTTTTATTTATGTCTATTTCTTTGATAAACTGTCTATAAAAAAATATTTTGATCTATCGGCTTATTGGGTATTCGTTTATTATTTATTTTATTCATTAATGTTATTAATTAATTGATCATCTGCTCTTCATGCAGGACCAACCCATTCTAATATTTTTCTCTAATGAAAGAAAATATACCTTGTCTATTATATAATCACTTTATTTCCTCAATGATTTTTTTATACACCTGCGTTTTTCGGTTAAAAATATATAGCTCGGAGGACTTTTCTATCAGTGATCATATTTGACAAGTGTAAAGCAATCAGAATGTAGAAGATTGAGCATCTCCTTGTTTTAGAATAAACATGCATGAGAAGTTTACTTTGTAGTGTTGAAAACCTCCATCCTTTAAATATATCTTAAATTAAAGCTTATTTATTATACTAGTATTGCTAAAAATCACCTCTTTTTTATTTTTTTGTAAAATTGCCAAAAATTTTTTTGTTAGTTTAAACTATATTATTATAATAGTTTTTATATTAAACTAGCATACAATATAGAAAGTAAACTAATTACAAAAATGACTGATCAATAAAAACTTATGAACTAATGCTTCAAAAAATATTTATATTTTCGTATTCAGGCAGAAGGACGAGTGCGGTCGATAAATGACTAATGATAAAAATAGCAGTATTCACACTTTACCTCCAGTCTATATATTAAAATATAAATATCTTCCGGAGCATTACTTCAAAAGTTATTACCGATCAATGACTTTCGTAATTAAATTATTTTTTATATTATAAGCTAGTTTACCATACATATGTTACAATTTAAATAAAAGTATAAAGCTAACAGTCCTATAAGATATGAGATGAACATAAAAAATATTTTTAACACATAAATGGAAATAAAATGTATCTAACAAATTCCACAAAAAAGTTGTTCAGAAAACTTTTTATTTTAAGAAAAATCGAATCATTAAAAGAATTACTCTGTATATAAATATATATGGGTGATGTGATCCCTCCAATTTAAAGAGGTTTCATGACCCTTCCGAATCAAATCACTTTTCTTCAGAACGATTTTAACTAAAATGTTTCTTCTTAATGTTCTCTTCTATTTATGACCTAATACCATAGTAACTACGTATGGATAATCGTACTTAGTACCTATGTTAATAGTATTTATACTATATTATAACTAGAAAAGTTTCTCCAAAATTAAAAAAAATTATATTCATTGTTAACATGGTACGACTAGTGATGACTTTTTCTTTCTTATGAATTCAATTATTTTAGATAAATTTTATCATCAGGCGAACGAGGGTTGTCCCAGCATTATAAACCTATTTTTTTTTTTAGTTATAATACGTAACTCCCTGTTCAATTAAAATTATTCCAGCTAGTCTAAACATCATACTAATTATCCGTCCATGGATTCATTATAAATATGATTGTATAACTTCCTAATTGTTGTACAATACGAAAGAAATAAGTTTTTTTTTCAAATCAATCTAATATTAAAGAAATGAAAAAAAAAAATTTCATTGTTAATTATTGTGGCCAATGTATCTTCTTAGTACTCTGTCATTCGCCCGGTGATATTATTGTTATTTTATTAATTTTAATGTATATTTTAAAATAACATAATTTTTAATAAAAATATAATATATTATACACAAAACAAGATTTTCTCATTTAATAATGAACTTTGAAAAATAAAATACTATAGTATAAGACCCTGATTTGACAGTTTATGGGTCCAATAGAAATTAAATAATAATTAACTGTAATTGAGCTTTATTAAGTAAAGAGATCATTAACAAAATTTTATTTATCCCAAATAATGCAGTCAGGAAGACTGGCAGAACAGGACGCTTAGCTTCTCAATTTAGAAAATTTATATTAAAAAGAAACTTTATTTCTACTTTATAATTTACTAATTTTTTTTGTGGACTTTTTCTTAATAAAAAATAGAACCTTTGAAAATTTCTGGTTGTGTCACTACAATTAAAAGTGTATTTTAAAAAGTGAGTAAACTAAAATTGTCTTTCTTCAATTTATATTATGATTACGCGTATGTTAATTACGAATAAAGATAATCTGATGGGAATTTGATTCAAGATTTTAACAATTTTTTTAATTTGTTGCAATTGTAGTAATGCTCAATAGATGACTTGAATGTTTTACTTTATGTTCATTGTTAAATATGAAAAATTGATGAGATTACATTGATCTTATTAGCATTTACCGAAAAACCATGATGTAATAATTATTTATACGAAGCAAGTAATATACTATCATAATAATTTGATAAAATATAACGGGTTTATGTGGTATCAAATTACATTCTACTTTTAAATTACATTGATAAGAGTGTGATAATGAAAACTTGATTTCATTGAGTGTATTCAAAAAGAGAAAATATTACCCAACATATATTTTTATTTTTATTGATTTGCTGATTTTTTTTTTATTTATCGGCTTATTTATGCTATCTAAATGTTAATTACTGTCTTACCTTTTTCTTTAAATCAAGATAGACTTGCTTGTAGTTTTTAAATAGTTAATTCTTTATAATAGCTTAAGTTCTATTAGATTAGATTATTGAAACTTGAATGAACCTCCTTTTTTTTTAAACAAATTATTCCTTTTGTCCTATCTTAAACATTCAGGCCTAAATAATTTTAAGGTATGTAATATATATAATCAAATGAATTAGCCTGGTTGTTTATATTTGTATGCAAGTTGTTGTCCTTGATAATTAATGCTGGTTCAATTTGAATATCCATTTAGTGTAGATTAATGCTTATTGGATTACATCATAATTGCACGCTGGAGGGGATTTGTTTTAACTAGTTTTCAAATATTTCATAGATTGTATTGTTTGCACGGGGTTTTATTTTTGTCAATGAATCATCAATAATTTTAAGTGAGTAAGTTTTATCTTTTTTATATCAGACATAACAAATAATAACTAATACATATGTAACAACTATATTAAATAAACTTGCAAATCATTCAAACTAGTAAATAATAATGAAATTTAATAACTGGTCAATAAAGATTCGATAAAATAAATTAATTAGTATAATATTTAATATGATTAGATGAGTGAATCAGAAAACGAATCCATGGAAACAACTAGAATGTATAGGGATGACTTAGAATTGTCTCGTTTGTCATTACATCTTAGTTCTAGAGATTTAATTAATGATACTCCACAGCATAAGTATCTTTCTAAGGTATTTTTTATTTTTAATACCATGATACCTGCATAAAAAAATAGTTACCTTGAATCACTAAAATAAATAGATAAATTTGTTGAGTTCTATTTATAGCCTGATGTAACTTTTGATTCATTACCTGGAGAAGCTTCAGTAGATTTTGTACTTGTTACTTCTACAAAAGCAAAAACACCAGTTGATACAAATGGTTGGAATCGTAGATCTGCATTTGAAGAACGCATGAAAGAACAAGGTTTGCTTCTAGAAGAGGATGTTATTGGTGGATTAACTTTTGTTAAAGTACATGCCCCTGTTCCTGTTTTACGTAGATATTGTGAGATTTTAAAATTACGAATGCCGATGAATGAGGTAAACTTCATTTTTGATATATTTCAAAAATACTGTCAGCTTTTAATATCTGGATACATAGAAAAGTTGCTTATTAATTAAAACTAAGGTTCTTATTTTCTAATTAAGTAATTAAGATTCTATGGTAGTTTTTTACAGGTTTAATAAAAATAAGAAATTTTTCTACTTCTTTCTAAAATAATAGAATATAAAAATCAGTCACTAATGTAAACAAAGTAGTTTGTTAACACTTCTGGCCAATTGCTCCTATGTAAATTTAAAATACTAAAATGATTACACTTTTTGTAGCTGTAGTAGTAATTGTATTTATTATGCAGTTTTATTTCTATATGGCACAATATTACTTTTATAAATATGATGTTAAGTTATTATTTTATTTTAAGATAGTAATCGTTGGCTGTACACGTGTAAACATTTAATTAATTAAAACTATACTTTTGATATATATCTTAATGTTTTAGTGCACATTTCATGAAAATATACCTCAAACAGGATTTGATTTATTTGACACAATAAAATCGATGATTGGAAAATTTGTAAGATTATTTGTTACTATTGATCCTGGGTCTCTAACCCCTTCAAAATATATATTAACTGCAGAATATTCTCGTGATAAAAGTTATTTGTCAGTACTAAAGAAAATGACTTAAAGAAAATTATAAAAATTACTATTTTAATTTTAAATAGATTTAATGAAGATGATCCAAGTTTTTTTTCGGCTGAAGTTCGAACATTAGTTATTGACTTTATTCTTAACAGAATAAGTTGGGGAAAAGATCAAGGAGATGTTAACTGTGTCGGAATTCAATGCTTATTAGATGAAGGAATTTATAAAGCTGCTTATCCATTACACGATGTAATAATTAAAATACTTTTAATATTTACATAAAAGATTCTATAATTAATTTCTTAATATATATATATATATATATCGGAGGTCGTTAAGTAATTTTTCTAGTATTATCAAATTTTTAAATGTTTTAACAAGAACCATTCAATATTTGTTTTTTAAATAGGGTGAACATACAACTGAAAATTCTTTGCGACATGAATTATATGTTGAATGGGCACTATTAAGCAAATGGATTCGTAGACAACCAATTGATCAAATTAAAGAATACTTGGGTGTAAAATATGCATTTTATTTCACATGGTTGGGTTTTTATACTCACTTATTGATACCAGCTGCATTTATGGGATTAATAGTATTTTTTTATGGAGTTTTCACTTTACCCTATGATAAATTTAGGTAATCTCATAAATGTAGAACTTATACAATATGATAGTTGTATATCATTTCAATTATTACAGTTCAGATATTTGTAATTCAACTGATACCATAATGTGTCCATTATGTGATCGTACATGTGATTATTGGGAATTATCTAACACTTGTTTTTACGCAAGATTGACACATTTATTTGATAATAACTTAACTTTTTTCTTTTCTTTTTTAATGTCAATATGGGGTGAGTAACTAAAATAAACTCTTAATATTCATATGTTTTTTTATTTCATATATATTGATTATAAAATAACCTTATAGCTACTTTATTTCTTGAACTATGGAAAAGATATTCAGCTACAATAACACATCGCTGGGGATTGACTGGATTTACATTAGAAGCAGAACATCCAAGGCCACAATATTTAGCTCGATTATCAGGTTCAAAACACTCAAAAATTAATGTTGTTACTGGAAATATAGAACCCACTGTTCCTTGGTGGAAAAAAATTCCTGCTACTGTATTCAGTTTTTCTGTCCTGTTACTTTTAGTAAATTACTTTTTAATTTAATTAAGTTTAATTATCTCATTTTTATAAGTATGTAATTTACAATTGTTTTAAATTTAGATTATGATTGCTATTGCTTCAGTATTTGGAGTTGTCCTTTATCGAATGTCAGTATTAACCTCGCTTAGTCTTGCAAGTCAGTCAGATTGGATGAGTCATTATAGTAACATAATTGTTCCAACTACTGCTGCCATCATTAATTTAGTTTGCATTCAATTATTAAATTTTGTAAATGAATTTCACTTTAAAATTTCATCAAATTTTCTTTATTTATATTTTAAATTATATTTGTAGGTTTATGACAAAGTTGCTATGTATTTGACTGAAATGGAATTATTACGCACACAAACCGAGTTTGATGAATCTTTATCTACAAAAATTTATTTATTTCAATTTGTCAATTACTATACATCTATTATTTACATAGCTTTTGTGAAAGGAAAAAATACTGGTTATCCTGCCAAGTATTTACGTATTTTTGGTCTCAGGCAAGAAGAAGTAAGTAGACACTAAGTGAATAATTTGTTCAAAATTAGAATACATGATTATGTGGTAAATTTAATATTGAACATTGAATATTGATAATCATTAATGCTTTAATTAATTGTATTAATAAAAAATATGATATTATCATTATTATTATTTCTATATTTTTTTTAAGAGAAATTTAGAAAAAAAAATTTTATTTTATATTAATTTCATGTTTTGCATATTTTTATTCTTCGTTTTTAAATATTATGATTGACTATACTTAATCAGCCAAAGGTATTTTAATACTAATTATAAGTAATTTATGTATCTTAATATTTAGTAATATAATGATATTTATTTTTTCCATGTTATCACAATTTTTTAAAATTGTTACAATAATTCTAAAAAACTTATTAATACTTAATTTTTAAATTATAAATCAACCATATAGTGAATTGTTTATTTTCAATTCATAGTGCAGTCCAGGTGGATGTCTTATGGAACTCAGCATTCAGTTATTTATCATTATGGTAGGCCAGCAAGCAGTTAACACTATAGTTGAAATGATAATCCCGTAAGTTATTTAATATTATAGAAAGTGGTAATCTTAAATGGCCAATTTTTCTAGTTTTGAAATGAAAAATAAATGATTAATAATTATTGATATAAAAATGAAATAAAAAACATGTCATTTATTATGTAATAACAATTTTTCCAAAGCAACCATAATCTATTCATAAGAATTTCTCCAATCATTCACATGCCTTTCATTAAATGCACATTATTTCCAAAAATAATTTTAATTTGTCACCTTAATGAGACTTATCAGCATATGACTTATGGGGATAAATTAAAAATAAAATCTACATACAGAAATTTAAATGTGTTGTAGACTCTAAATTTTAAAATAAAGTTTAATTACTATTGATTTTGCAGTGCTGGTTTAAATTGGTTCAATTCACGCACTGAAAATACAGGACGTTTAGATGCTATAAAATCATCGTCCGAAGAAAAAGATCTAGAATTGTCCAATAAAAAACCATGGACTGAAGATTATAAACTTTTAGATTGGGGACCTAGAGGACTTTTTCCTGAATATTTAGAAATGGGTAAAATAGATTTATCAGATTATAATATTTATAAATTAATCGGAAATGGTAAAATGTTTCCCTCAGTGCACATCACGTGATCAACCTAAATTTCTGGTACACTTTCTTTATCTATTTATATTTCTTAAGGTTACACAAAATGAAAATAATACTAGTATATATTACAATTAATATTATTATTTTTTTAGTGATGCAATATGGTTTTGTTACACTTTTTGTGTGTGCATTTCCTCTTGGACCATTTTTTGCATTATTGAATAATGTATTAGAAATGAGGCTGGATGCTAAAAAGTTTTTACGGTATTACAGAAAACCTATTCCTCATAGAGTTCCAAATATTGGTATATGGTATCGTGTATTAGATATAATAGGAAAATTGGCAGTCATTACTAATGTAAAATTCTCTATTACACTAAATTATACAATTGATAATTACACTACAATTTTTTTGTAGGGATTCATCATAGCATTTTCTTCCAATTTTGTACCTCGAATTGTATATTTACTTTTGCATAGCGAAAATGGTACAGATGAAGGGTTTTTAAACAGCACTTTAGCTTACTTTTATACTGAAGATTTTGAAAAAGGTGTTACTCCGCTAAATACTTCCTATAATGTCACATATTGTCGGTCAGTATTTATTAAAATTAATAAATGTAATTATTAATAATACATAACAGTCAGAATATGGCATATTGGGAATAAGACAAAGTTGAAACTACTATAGATTGAAATCTTACACTAATTAACATCACTATCATAAAATGATACAAAGATGAGAGTTTTGCGAAATTTTTTTGGGAAGAGGGTATTCTTTATCTAAAGTAGAGTCTGAACTTTCATTAATATGCTTTTATTATTTTTTTTTTTATAAGATAATCCTCGATAACAGGATCATTAACTACTAGATTTATGCCTATATTATTAGTACTATTTTGTAAAAAATACAAAATACAACAAAATAAAATTTAAACCTCAACTTTGCATCAAAGTTAATAAAAGAGAAATTAAATTAAAATTTCATGCACACTCTTTTGTTTGAATAATATTTTGTAGTGCTATTCTATATATTACTATTATCTCTTTTATCAAAATATTAAATAATTTGTAATACAGATAGTAATTGAATTAGAAAATATTAAAGTAAATTTTCACAAGTCTCAATAAACAATTATGATGTCTCATTAATTATATATTATACAGATACAAAGACTATCGAAATCCACCATGGTCACCTAATAAGTATGAAAGACCAACATATTACTATGAAGTTCTTGTTGCTCGCCTTACATTTGTTGTTATTTTTCAGGTAAATTGTAAATAATTATCTTTATTTTTAAAATTTTGTAATATTTGTCTGTTTATTATTTATATAGAATATTGTTTCATTGGTGAAAGTAGTTGTTCAGTGGTTGATACCTGATGTACCAAATGCTCTAAGTGATAGAATCAAACGAGAATCATACTTGACTACGCAAATGATTATTAAACATGAAGCAAAAAAAGCAGCAGGCATTAAAGAAAAAATTATGTAACAGCAGAGGACACACAACACACTTATTTCTTGCAATTAATTCACAATATATTATTATTATTTTATTTGATATAATTAATATTTTTATTATTATTTAAAAATACATAGATATAAACTACTAATAATAAAAAAATTATTATAATATTTATACATTATATAATATATTATATATTTTGTTGTTCATTTTTATTTTATTATTTGTGTATGTGTGTTCTCTTAAATAACTAACCAATAAATACTTAAATTTCATTAAAAAAAACATTATAATTACAGAAGTAGAACACTACAGTGGTATGATGCATGATGTTAATTCACCTCAAAGCTTATAAAATTACGCAGCTTACTAAGCTATTATTGAAGTCACTTAAAGCTGTCATATAATTTTTTTATTTTTTAAGATAAAAAATTCTAAATTAGGCTTTAAATACTTTATATTTTATAAATAAAAAAATTATCACAAGTAATATGACCATTTTTCTTGACTGTTAATATTGCTTAAATTATTAAATAGATGATAATGTACTGATTAAATACTTTTTTAAAAACTTATGCTATGTGATGTCAATATATAATTTAACAAAAGTTTGTAACTGAATAACTTTTGAAGAAAAAATGATAGAAACAATTATGATCTTTTTTTATATTTGTTATAATTTTTTATTATAGTTGGCTAAATATTGCATTTAACCTTTGCATTGTAATTTAATAACATATTTTAACCATAAGACTGTTTTTTTTTTTTTTGGAATTTGGTGCCTTAAATGTAATCTCTTATAAACAATTAGTGATTTTAAGTACTTAATACTTATATTATTGTGAAGTTTTTTCTAACCAATTTATGTGTTAAAATGAATAACATTTAATGTTTATTTTGATTATTTAGTTTCTTATAAATGTTTAAATACTATGTTATTTTAAGTATCTTGATATTTTATAAGTATTATTAATTATCAAATATATTTTAAATCTTTGTTAAATTCAATGTTTTCATTAGTTATGTATATGATGAACATTTAATAATAAAATGATAAAATTGATACTTTTTTTCACCTGTTTAAACAAGAATAGGACAAGTCTGTTTTTATCATTGGGAAAGACCACTGACGCGATTTATTCATAATAAGAATCGGATATGTGTCGACACCTACAAGTAATAAAAATGTATAGTAAAACTGAGATGATTGAGTTATGATTGTAAACACTCATTTTTCTATCAAAACATCTCTATTTAAAAATCCTTTATTATTTTAAGTTTACAAATAAAATCTGAATATCCGGGTAATTGATGTTAATTTGAACACGGTATTCGTGACAAGTTCATTTTTGATACCTATGAGTGAACAAAATCTAAATGGCAGCCCATCGGAGTGAGTTAATATTTGCATAAATCTATTTATCTTCGTTGTATACGTATTGTTATTTAACATGTGTGTTTTTGCATATGTTTTTATTTTTATGCTTTAAGAAACTGCCGATTGTCGCCTAGAACTGTACGTGCTTGGAGAGATTTGCCTGAACAAATTAAAAACGATTCCACTTTTCGCGTTTTAAAACTACGCATTGAAAATAATCCTGATTTAAGGTACAAGTACTGTAATTATAACTTAATTTTTTTCAATCACTTTAACAATTTTAATTCAAGATTTGACGATTCGACGGCTGGCCCATCATATCAGATCATGACTCCTGACGAATTTGAACCATCCACTATGGTGGTACATAAGTCATCAGAAAAGTATAAAACACTTTAATTAAGGTGATCATTTTTATTTTATTATATGGTACATGTATTTGTTTTAAATAGGGGAAAAATAGATACTGTATTAAAATCAAAAAAAAAATCTGGCAGAGAACATTTTATTACAGTTGTTCTTATATGTTTTTGGCTCTTTTGTACAGTAAGTTGTAATTTTTAAAAAATAAAATAATTTATAAAAATTAACTTTATTACTTTATTACTTTATTAGTTATTAAAAAAAATTTTTATTTTTATTTAAAGTAAAATCATCTAATGAATACTTATTTTTAAAAATACAATTTTTTTGTTATGGTAGTTAATTTTAATGGCAAAACAAGAGAGAAAAGCTGACGATGTGCATCAAGTAACATTGACTCCAAATCAAACTAAAAGTAATATTAAAACCACTTAAGAGGCTCGAAAGTTGGGGATTAGGTATGGCCACAGAATACCTTAGTGGGAAGCTCTCGCCATGTAGCGTGGGACCTGTATTCTATTCCTATTCTGCTGGCATATTTTTTCCTCAGTTTCCGAATTTCTAACAGTAATAAATTGTAAGAAACTATATTTTCACGTTCTTGTAACACAATTAATTTCATTTAGCTCAAGTTATATTCAAAAATCATATGCCTGATACCAATAAAATTCAGATTGTATTGGCTGGAGCATTTGTACCCCAATACTATAGATATCTAGCTACACATTTTCTAAACATATGGGTTGAATTTGAAACAGATGAAGAATATTTAGAAGCTAAAAAATTAGGGTTAAAAGATGATGAAATTAGAGGTAGGGTAAGTAATTATTATAATTGATAACCTTAATCTTTATTTAATTCTAGTTTATCAATGTACAGAATATAACAGAACTATGGTCAGAGCCTATTGTTTGTGAGTCACTGGTTGAGATTGTTCCTGAAATGCATCATAACAAAATTTTTAAACTAAATCATTTGTCATCCAAGTATGTACATATTTTACTTTGAATAAAAATATGTACAGTGTTCAAAAAGTAAACAAATGGTTTCTTTTGTATACATTATAATGTACATGTTTTTTCCTACTAATTTTAAATTCTATATTTAAATTTTATTAATAAAATAGTAATATTATTTTCCAGTTATACCCTTAAAGGGACTACTAGACTGTGTATGAATACTACATTAAATACTAATTTCCCTGTTGCATTGGCCTATGATTTATTCCCAATCAAAACTGAATATGGAATTATATATGCTGCCCTTGTGTTAATTGGTCTCTATGTATTGATTATATCTGAAGTATGTTAAGTATTAAAATGTACACATTTATGAAGTGTAATAGTTTATGTTATTTAATTATTATTTTTTGAATTTTGAATTTTAGCAAGATTTTTTTTATTTACAAATTATATTTTCTTTAGTTGAAACTATTTTTTTAGGTAGTACATAAAACTATTGCTGCAATTCTTGCTGCTACAATGTCAATTTCCATTCTCGCAGTTATGAACGAAGTAAGTAAAACTTTCATATATCTATCTAGAAATTATTTAGTTACTTAAATTTACTAATGTTTATGTATTATAATTTTAAAAAATTAATAGATTGAAATATTTTGTAGAGACCATCAAAAGATGAATTATCATCATGGGTAGACATTGAAACATTGCTTCTATTATTTTGTATGATGGTTATTGTTGGAATATTGTCAGAAACTGGAATTTTTGATTACTTAGCTATTACTGCTTACAAGGTGCACAAATATGATATGTATTATTACTTTTACAGACAACATAAGAGATTTATTGGAATTCAAATTTAAAATTCAAATTTTTGTTTTACGAATGACAGTCTTAAAATTTAATTTTAAATTAACCTTCATAAAAAAAATTAAGGCAGGAGATTTTTTTTTCTCAAAATAAATTATATAGATTATTAATGTCTGTTTTTTTATTTAAAATCTCTACATAATATCATGTATAATTAAATAATTTTAGAAAAAATTTAGTTTTTTCCTTAAGTTAAATTAAGTTAGAGCATTATGTAAAAACATTTATATTATTTTGCTTAACCAAAATTAATAATTTTATACTGGAGTATATTTATAATTGATTAGGATTAAGTTGTTTTTTAAGAATATGGTCTACTAATTCTTATTTTTCAAGAAAATCATTTTTATTTTAAATTGTATTGTATGTATTTTATAAGGACCCTTCTTTTTTCAGATGACTAATGGTAAAGTTTGGCCACTGATTAATACATTATGTTTCTTTACTGCTATAGTTTCATCAATTTTAGACAATGTCACTACTGTTTTATTAATGACTCCTATAACAATTCGGTATTCAAAAAGTTTGCATAGAATTAATATTTCACTAGTAAATTTGTGGTTTTTTCTTTATTTTAGTTTATGTGAAGTAATGCATATGAACCCAGTTCCCACATTGATGTGTATAATTTTTTATGCTAATATGGGAGGAGCTTTAACGCTAATTGGTGATCCACCAAATGTAATAATTGGAACTAATAGAGATGTTATCGCGAGTGTATGTATTTACAAGTTATTTACTAATTTTAAATTGAGGGTATAGAAGTTCTATTTGCATTATGATTAAATTTAGTAACTTGTAATTTATGCAATGATACAAGAAAAACAATGCTATATCTATTTTAGATTCAAGAAAATGTATTCTAGTTTTAGGCTGCCTTTGGATTATACATTTTTAAATTTTAGAGAATATTTAAGGATCATAATCGAATAAACTTGCAAATATCGGCCAAGTTCTAAATACTATAGATTAATTATTCATTGAGCCACATTTATTTACAAATTACTATTGAATTTCATAGGGAATTACCTTTACAACATTTTCTATTCATATGGGAATTGGTATGGCAATAATATTTTTGACTGTAAATATTCATTTACGATATATATTTCGTAATATGAAAGACCTAAAATTTACTGAGCCATCAAATGTAACAGGTAAGATAAATTTTAATACATATTTTAAAATCATTTAGCTTTTAATTTTGCATATAATTTATTTATTTTTAAGAATTAAGACAAGAGTTGGCAATTTGGCAAAAAGCAGCATCTTCATTATCTTCATATTCAAAAGAAGAAGGTGTTGTCAGAGATAAATTATTAAGAAAGTGTAAAATAATATTTGCTAAACTAAAAGATACTTTGAAAGGTTTTACCGTTGATGTAGTCCCTATTATTGAAAGGTAAAGAAAATGTTTTTATTTTGTATTTTCAAGTAATTTAATTTCAAATAATTCTTAATTTTTAATAACTCTAAATATAAACCTTAAATATTGAATTATAACCTATTTTTTTTTTAATAAATTAAATAATGGTTATGTAATAAATGCATTAATAAAAACTTTAATAATTATGTAACCAAAGTAGCAGTGTCATGTACTGTTATTAATTTAAATCTCAGTCACAATCATGATTTTGTTTACTTATACATTTTTTCTTATAATAATGAAACACTAATTCTCACTCTAATAAAAACTAATTTGTTATTTCAAGTATAAATGATTAGTTTTTTAGAAAGGGCAAAAATCTATTAAAGATTTAAGTAATAAATAAAATAATTTAATAAAATAAAGTAATTTTTAGACATTTTAAACATTATTTGATTAATTATGTTTACAGTCATTAGTAAAAGGTATTATTTATTAATACGTTTTTTATAGTAGTCTTGAATTAGGCGTTAAAAAAAGAAAAAGTTATAGAAATTATGAATCCCTACTAAATTTGTATTTTCTAAAAAAAGTTGTTTTAAAAAACAACCAATAGAAATGATGATTTGCCTTCTCAAAAAAAAAATTAAATTTCTTCTATATCTTATGTTAAATAAATAATTGTTTTTATATTTCAGACAACAAACACAAGAAGATTCAGTTAATGATTTTTTGCATAAAGTGAGAAATAAACCATAAAATAATTGCAGAAATCTGAATTTATATAACTAATATTAATTATATATTTCCTGTTTTTCTAGGGCAAAACTTTAGATAAATGTCTTTTGTATAAATGTGCTGCCACTCTAGCATTTGTTATCACTTTGTTTTGTCTTCATTCTATTCCTCAGCTTAACCTTAGTTTAGGATGGATAGCTTTACTTGGAACATTATTTTTACTTATTCTTGCAGATCATGTAGATATTGAATGTGTCTTAGGTCGAATTGAATGGGCAACATTATGTTTTTTTGCTGCATTGTTCATTTTGATAGGAGTAATGTATTGTTTATTGATTTAAAAATATTATGGCCTTAGAAACTGCAGGTTCTCTTTAAATAAAAAATTTTGAATGAGTTGAACCCTAAATTTTTAAACTTATGTATGGTTTAAATTTATTATTTTACACTATTAAATTATAATGGTTTTAGGCATTATCTGAATTAGGGTTAATTGAATGGGTTGGCCGACAAACCGAAATGGTAATTATGTCTGTTGCTAAAGAATATAGACTATCAATGGCTATTATTTTGGTACTTTGGGTTTCGGCAATTGTTTCATCATTTGTTGATAATATTCCATTAACCACAATGATGATTAAAGTCATTACTTCATTATCACACAATCATGAACTTGAATTACCTTTACCACCTTTAGTGTTTGCTTTGGCGTTTGGAGGTTGTCTTGGAGGTAATTAGTAATTTAAATATTTTCATATTTGAAAACATTAATTTGATTTTTTTCTAGGTAATGGCACACTCATTGCTGCTTCTTGTAATATGGTATGTGCTGGAGTAGCTGAACAACATGGTTACCGAATGTCATTTATGCAGTTTTTTAAGTAAAGTTATATTTTATTTATTTATTGATCTTGTGTATAAAATATTTTTAACTGATATCACATAATTGTGATTTATTAAGATATATATTTTAATTATAAAAATATTGAATGGCAATGGGTATTAATAGTTATGTTGGATCATTTTTAGAGTTGGATATCCTGTTATGTTAGGTAGTATCATAGTTGCCACCATTTATTTACTCTTGGCTCATGTTACTCTTGGATGGAATGTGTGATTTAATTTGTTTTTTTTAGACTGTCCTTTTATTAAAAATAAGTTCCTGTACCAATATTAAAAAAAAAAATGTTATTGTCAATATCTGTGTTTTAATATTATATTGTTTTATTATTTTCTATTACTGAAAATTTAAATTTTGTATGTATTTACATCAAGTATTTTTTCTGTGTTAATTTAAGTTAAGGTTTCTTTAAATACACAATATTGTCTATAACACCAGAATGATACCCAATAAACTTGATTCTATTTAATTATTAATAAAAAATGCATTTTTGATTTTTAAATTGTTTTTAGTACATCAACAATTGTTTTTTGAAAAATTAATTGTGTTATAAATTAGGTTATGAAAGATGTTATTAAATCTCTTTATTATATTAATATCATTTTTTCGTGAATTATGAAATTTTGGAACATTTTACCCTTAAAATACAGATTTATTGTGCAATTTTTAACAACATATTTATGCTGTGATATTTTATTATAAAATAGAATGGTTCTATTTAAATTTAGTATTTAGTTTATAATGTTTATATATTTATTATTTCACATTACTTATATGTTAACATATAAGTTAATTTATAATGTTTACATTGGATAACCAATATTATAACTTTTACTAAAGAAAATCTATTATATAATAAATACAATGTGGACTATTATTTTCTATTCAATAAAATATGTCAATTAATATTTTTTTATCTTCGATGCGAAGCTGAAAAGGTATTGTTTTACCACAATGTGTTTTATTTTTTATGTCTGTGGCTACATTTTCTCAGCTCTCACTGGACCAAGTTTTCTCAACGATACGTCAAAAGATAACAAATCGTATCTAATTGAAGACATTGCCTTTGAAAAATGAAAAAATGGCAAATCCCCAAAAAATTACGATTTTTAAAATTTGTAAATTTTGACTTTTTTTTCTTAAAACTGCTATAACTTGTTGAAAAATGAACGAATCAACAAAATTTTTTTTTATATTGAAACCTTTAGTAATTATTTTTTATTTGGTATAATATTTTTGAAAATCTGACCCTTTACATGCCCTTGATATGTGGAATGGATTTGCTAGTTGTGTTAAGAATATTGCAAAGGAGATTGTTGGTGAGAGTAGGAGTAGAATGCCAGGAAACAAGGAAACCTGATGGTGGGTTGAGGACGTTCAAAAAAACATAGAAAGTAAGAAAAAGCAATTCAAAGTATGGCAGAAGGAGAGAAGATTGGATGGAATATATACGCTTATGCAAAGAATTGCGGGTGGTTGAAGCGGAGAGAAGCGTCTAACGTCTTATGCGATAAAAGAATTCCAATGAGACTGAAAGGTAAATTCTACAAGATTATGGTGAGGCCAGCTATTATGTATGGTTCAGAGTGTTGGGCGGTTGATAAGAAAGAGCAGAGAATGAGAGTAGCAGATATGAGAATGCTATTGAATGTGATATGAAGACAGCTGATGTGAGCATAGATATGATGCGGGAGATCGTGTCAAGTGGAAGTTCAGCATAAGGGTGGCCGTCCCCAAGTAGTTGAGATTAAGGCGAGGGAGAAGAAGAAGATTTTAAGTATGATCTTTTACTTCTATGGCAAATATGTTTAAAAATTTATTCACAAAATTGATGCAAAATTTTTTAAAAAATAATTTTTTTGCTAATTATGAATAAACACACTAATCCACAAGGAGATTTTTTTTCAATTTTTGAGGATAATGTCTTCGACTAGATACAATTTGTGATATTTTGACAAGTTGTTAAAAAGTAATTAAATTTAATATAAAATTAATTTTCAATAGTTTAGTATTGTAGTTAGTACAAATATATCGTAAAAAAGAAAAGGAAATTTAATTATTTTAAACCTTATTAGTTATAATTTTAGTGATGAATTAGAAGTTATCAATATAAGCTATAAATTAAAAAAAACAGAATAAATTTAATTACACAGCCTAAAAATCATTCAAAATTTGTGATCTTTTGACGCATTTTTCATCAAAATCGGTCCAGTAAGAGATGAGAATAAGTGGTAAACAGACACACACACAAAAAAAAAATAATCTGTTTTACATCCTTTTATATTTCCCGAACATAATATGCTACAGAGGGTGGTGGCTCTCTTTCACATGTTAGGGAGTCAAAGATGGTTATTGGCTAGGAAAATGTTGGATGGGCGGGTATTATGGCCGGCTTGCACTAGAGACCAAACTATCAATGAGAAAATCACAAGAAGAATCTCGTTGGTACCTTGGGTTTATAAAAATAATTTTTTTGGACCAGTACTTTCTTTGAATGTTATTTTCATTTTTATACCAGGTGAGACGAAAAGTACAGCCAGGAAATGACTAATTATAAAAATAGTATCACCTACTTCTCGCCACTAGTCATTGCTTTAAATTGTTAATAACTTCTGAAATACTAGTCCAAAAGTTGTTATCGACCAGTCATTTTCTTAATTAGATTATTTCCTATTTTAAAAGCTAGTCAAATATGTATATTGTCATTAAAAAAAATAAAACTACTTTAAGTTAAAGGCATAATTCTAAAATGTAATTATTAGATGATTAATCAAAAATTATATGTAACTAAATAATCAAATTTAATTTTTCCAATATTGTATTATGTGAATAATCGAGTGGTTTATGATAAACCGATCACCTTGTATATACTTTCATTAATACATAATAATAGTAAGTAATAAAGTATATTTTATATTATAATTTAGCACTGTATTTTTTAAAATTAATTTTATTTATTATGCATTAAATAATTTCAAATCATTTTCATTGTCAATAAAAATTGAAAAAAAACCACAAAAGATGCAATTTTCACATGATACCTTCATAACGTCCAGTCAAAAACTTACAAGTTATTTCAGTTATCATAAGTCCATCAAATCTTTCGTGGCAATAGAATAAGAAAATTAATAATAATCATAATAAATTTAATTTAAAATTGTTATGGGCTTAATGGATGTGTACCACAATTAGGTAGGCATCACCCAGTTTCACTAAATAGTGGCGTAGAGCTGTTTATTTATTGCAAATTAAAAAAACAAAGAATAATCCAAAGTGGATATGATAAGTGTTTGACAGTTATAAAATCCAAATTCACAGAGTTAATAAGAGTTGCTTAGACCTAGTAGTGTGTCTGGTGGTACTCTCAGAGCGGATAGGATGATGTCACGAAGATGACTTATATAATATTTCGTCGGACGTGCGGCACTTGCTGGACTTAGTATTGTGGCGTATTTAAAAGCTTATAATGGGGGGGGGGGCACAAAAAATGTTAGTGAATAAGGTATCACAAAACGACTTTTTTTTGCTCATAACTTTTGTTAACACATATTATAGATTTTTTTGAAAAAAAAATCTGTTATTTGTTTTGAATCCTTTTTTATACAGTGTGTATCTCTACGTAATAAACACTTCAAAAATAGGTGATAACATTAACAACTGTGTCAAATTTTGCTCCACAAGACAACTATATCGACTAACATTTCATAAACCCATGTTATTATCGATAACCAAAAAATATCTTTTTCTAATGATATAATACAATATTACATTACTTGATAAAATATTTACATGACTCAGTCAATGGATGCACGTGCCCCTGTGCCCCCCTCTAAATACGCCACTAGTGCCGTATCGTATGCGGTGTTAGTCAGCCAAACAACCAAAATACACGTAGTAGGGCGGCGGCTGATAAAGTCGGCACGGGTCGTGTGGCTCTGTGTACTCGAAGCGACGCAAGATCGTTTCAAAATAAAAGTTTTAGGCGTATTTTTTGTTTTATTCCAATACAAACCTAATATTCTATCAGTTGAATGACTCTGAAAGAAGTTTCACTTCATCCGCGCACTGGTTTTTTTTTCTGATAATATTTTTATAATTCTAGTAATATAAATATATAAATATTGGCTATCATGCTAACTACTTCAATATAAGGTACATTTAAGTTTTAATTCGTTATATGTTACTTTCTGTACAAGTAGAGAAAGTATTTTCTTTCTCCTGTAAATTTTTTACTTTAGGACTAAAAGGGTTTCTCAAATGATCTATTCATTTGGCGTGACACTAATTGATAATCGTATAGAATACAGATAAAATATAAAAATAAATGAAAGTTAGAAAATGTGTATAAAAAACCAATTACTATGTTAAATCATTTGTCAACAAAAATTTGAGGACAACAATTGGCAAAATAAATCTAAATAGGTAATCACGTTTTTGATAAAGTTCTTCAAAAAATGTCTGACTAATTGAAATTATTTTTCTTGCATTTTTTGTAAATAAAAATTGTACCGTAGATTAAAAAAAAAGACATGATTTAAAAAAAACAAGTTTTTTGTTCTGTAAGAAAACACGTAAATTATAAATTTAACATAATTATATTTTAGCTTCAATGCGAAGCTGAGAAGGTATTGGTTTTACTAAGATGTGTTTTTTTTTTGTGTCTGTTACCACTTTTTTTCAGCTCTCACCGAACCGATTTCTTTCAATGATACGTCAAAAGATCACAAATTGTATCTAGTCGAAGACATTACCCTCAAAAATTGAAAAAAATTCCCTCGTTCCCCGTAAATGGGGGAAACCTCCAAAAAAATTACAAATTTAAAAATCGCTAATTTTCAAAATTTTTTCAATTTTTTTTACTTAAAAGTGCTATAACTTTTTTAAAAATAAACATATCAATAAAATTTTTTTTTATATAGATGCATAATATCATTACCTTATAATATTACCTTTCATTTGGTATATTTTTTTTATAAATTTAACCCTTAACCTGCCCACAAGGGGGGATTTAAAATGACAACTTTTTCACAAAAAATTAATTTTTTTAACTTAAATTTTGAAAATGTTCCGGAAGGTCTGACACTTTTATATATATCTTAAATTAAAGCTAATGTAATGTTCTTTATTATGAAAAAAAAAAATTTCGGACTTTATTTTATCTTCACGGTGAAAATGGCTACCGAATGCTATTTTTGTGTGAAAATTTTCGATTTTGTATTTTCCATTTTTAACTTTATTATGCTATAACTTTTTGAAAAATGTATGGATCATTACAATTTTTTTATGAGAAGTAGTATTTATATAGATCTTTCATTCGACATACTGTTTTTTTAAATCGGACCATTTCCCTAAATACAGGGGGGATTCAAAACATAAAAATGCATATAGAAAGTAGAACTTTTTCAACGTAACTTTTGAAAGTGTTCCGGAAGGTCTGACACTTTTATATATATCTTAAATTAAAGCTAATGTAATATACTTTATCATGGTAAAAAAAAATTTCGGACTTTATTTTATCTTCATGGTGAAAACAGACATCAAACTTAATAAAAAAAATACGATTTTTGTAAAAAAATTCTGTTTTATATTTTTAACTTTATAATACTATAACTTTTTGAAAGATGTGTGGATCAGTATAATTCTTTTTTTTACAGATGCATGATGTCTTTACCTATCATTTGGTATATTTTTTTTTATAAATCTGACTTTTTACTTGCCTACAGGGGGGATTTAAAATGACAACTTTTTTACAAAAAATTAATTTTTTCAACTTAACTTTTGAAACTGTTCCGGAAAGTCTGACACTTTTATTTATATCTTAAATTAAAGTTAATGTAATCTACTTTATTATGCGAAAAAAAAATTTCGGACTTTATTTTATCTTCACGGTGAAAATGGCTACCAAATGCTATTATTATGTGAAAATTCTCGATTTTATTTTTTACATTTTTAACTTTATAATACTATGACATATTTAAAAGTGTATGGATCAACATTATTTTTTTATAAGAAATAATATTTTTTAATAATCCCTTTTTGATTCGACATACTTTATCTTAATGAGGATATTAATAATGAACTAGCAGATCATGTAGCTTTTGGAATAATCCACCAATTTTTTAAAATTAAACACTATCTAAAGATTTGCATCGAAGCGTTTTTTTTTGATAGTGATTTTAATCACTGTCAGATATCATTATGCTTGATCCATCTATGCCACGTCACCACTGTGCCGCGACCCCCCTGTGCTGGGTTTTTTTATCTTGATAGGGTATAAATTAATTAGATTTAAGTAAATTTGTATATTTATAAGTTTTATTAAACATCCTGAAATTAAATTAGGAAAATTAAAAATAATAATTCATATATTTTTTTTAGACCTGTTTTATTGATTAATATCAATTAATTCTTATGAACAAAGATAAGAATAATACGGATTTATAAATTTTGTTCAGTTATTCTGAACATACCATCAGCTAGTAAAATTTTTTATTAATTGACTTGAAAACTTAGTAATGTGTTGTTATAGAGGTTATAATGTTGTGGGAATTAGGAATGTTTATACCCCTTAAAATGAAATTTATTTCTATATTTATAGTGTATAATTCTACAACAAAATTACACAAACTTGGGAGCCTCCAAAGTGGTTCAAAAAAAAATTTATAAATGCATATAATAATGCCTAACTCTACTTATAAACATATTATAAAAAAAATTACCAATACAAGTTTTTAGCCGCAAAAGTTATGTGAATTAACTATGTAATTTACATTATTAATTATAAATTGGCATTGTTATTTATTATTGTTGTTTAATTATTTAAATATACGTGTTACATTGTACTTATTTTTGTGTTCTAAATATTGTATATGAGACTTAAATAAACTATATAAAGTAAATTCATTTTAAAAACTATTTATAAAGTAAATAATCAACTAGATATTTAGGAGTGTAATATGTCTGTTTTGCTACATCAAAATCCTTATTGTCATCATTATTCATCTCATCATTATTCATCTCATCATTTTCATCACTCGAGCTCTGATTATAATGTTCTTTTATATAATTTGAATTGTCACCAGGAAAATAAAGTTGTCGATATATGTCTTCATGATTTTCTAATTGTTCTAATAACAAAATTTTTTTATTTATAATTTTCATATAAAAATTACAAACGTCAAATAGCACGAGTGCGTACATCTCATACTGGTGTATGTATATTCCACTCGCGTTACATACCCACTCTATCTATTTAAATGGCTGTAATTTAATAAGTACTTATTCTGAAGTTGTTATCGATCCATAATAACTTTTTGTAAGGTAAGAACTAATATATGGCTATTTTTAAATTTCGAAAAAATAAAATCGATTTTGTTATTTTTTTATTGGGGACAAATATTACAGGATTAAAAGTTTTTAAAGATGTTAAAAGCCAAGATTAGTTATACATCGTATATTAGTCAATTATCACTATTAACAGTATATGACTATAGATGGCCGACCCCAAGTAGTTGTGATTAAGGCGAGGAATAAGAAGAAAAGTATATGACTATAGCGCTAATAAAAGCATACGTTAAACGAAAAAAAATGTCCTTAACCTTCCTTTCACAACTGATTAATAACATTTGACACAAAGATTTACACAAAGTACAACAAATCAAGGCAAGTGTCTTAACGACACTTATGAAAAATAATTCAAATATTCGATTGAAAAACATTGTAATTATAAGATTCGTAAAATTTAATACTCAATTTTGTCAAATTTTAGTTTTTGTATAGCAAACCTTATAAACAGGGTGATCTAAATTTTGTAATACACTCATTTTTTTCAGAAACTATTGAAAATTAAAAATTTATGTAAGAGGAAAATTATTAGATTAAAAAAACTCCACAATAATATGTAATTAAATAATTTTTTTCATCCATTCAGGGTTAAAAACCTTAAATTTAATTTTTTTTTTTAATAATATATGGCTATAATATAAGATAGAAATAATTTTTGACTTTATATTGTAAAAAAATGAATTACAAACTATTTTTTTTTCATCCGATGAACTATTCATCCATTACGGCATTTTAATATGTAAATAGAGTGAGTATGTATTTAAAATTTATTTATGTGCAAATTAAAATTTGATTTATTTTATGTTACGCAATGACTCCATTATAACTGGTTCCAACTGCTTTTTTTTTTAGTTTTGACAAAAAAATTTGCCGTTGGTTGTACTTCCATCACCCCTAAAGTGGCTCTAAAATATTTTAAGTGAACTTTGTATGCGTATATAAGGAAGTCTGTATAAAAAAATACCATTTTAAACAGTATAAAGTTTATACTGTTTATTCTATAAACAAATCACGCTATAATATTTCTATAAAAAAAATCTAACTTTATTAATTTAAATACATATTGCCAAAATTCTTTTCATTCCTCCGTTTAACAGAAAGAAAAAAATCTTGGTTGTATACCTGTGAACTTACCGATTGGAATATTATGCTTGAGAGTAGTTTGAAATCTATACTTCTCTATGAATCTTGTAGGAATATATCTATTTGGAGTCTTAAAACAATAGTGATATTTTTTCAACTCTAAAACGAATAAAGTAACTTTATTTACTTCTGCAACAGATAAATAAAAAATGTCAATAATATTGTTTTCTGTGACTTCTGCTTTCTGTAATTGACCAAATTTACTATTTAAAGCATTTTTTCTCAAAAAATTTTTTAAATTTTTTACTATTATTCCCACTTCTTTACTTGTAAACAATTTATTGCATTCTTCGAAAGATAAAATAATTTTGTAAGTCATTTTAAAAATATGAACAATTTTATTTACATATTTTTCTTCAAATAAATTCAAATTTATAAAGAATTTCATGATTCCAACAATTTGTTTTCCCATTCCAATGATTAAATTTTTCATAACGTCTTTTAATTCCACATCTTCAAATTTATCAAGTAAAAGAAATTTTCTAACTAATGAAAAATAAAAACGTACGATCATCAAAATTGGGCGAACTGTTGCTGCATTTACTAATTTTTTAAATGCTTGTACATTTTTAAAGTCAAAATCGAGTATGATGAAACGAAAAAAATCGAATAATTTTATTTGATAATTATTAGTACATTTTATTCTTAACGGCGCATGTCGAACAATGTCTAAAACAACATTAAGTTGTTTTTCGCTGTTACATCTAAAATACTGTTTAGTATCAGAACCTGATGCAAAGTCTAACTTCAAATAAAGCGGCCGATTTTCCATCACATGTCCACTCGATACATTTCTTTTAAACTGGACCGATCTCAGCATGTCTAATAAAACATTAATTTGATTATTTTCTATGTAACTGGCTGTTTGTTTCGCCTGAGATCCTGACGATAATTCTAGCATGGATAAATTAGATCGGGTTTCCATTAAATCATAAAATAACAAATTTTTAGGATAAAAATTGTTATATGATTGCTTACGAAAAGACAACGCTAAATGTTTCACAATGACAGTATAACTTTTTAATATTTCATCATCGTTCACATCGTACCATAATAAATATTCTTTTATAACAATAAATATGTTATTTTTTAGTTGTTCCAAAATACGAAGCAAAATATCTGGCATGCAACTAATTGGCGGCACCTTAAAATAGGTGTATGATATGAAATTATTTTTAAACGATACATCTAAACATTTGCTATTAATAAAGTATTCCAATCGTTCAACAATTGATCGAATAATTAGTTTATAGCCTTGAAGTAAATTCTGAGAGCTTTCAGCTCTACTGAATTCACCATTTTCATTTTTAGCGATCATGTTTAAAGATCCTGAAACATTGTTCAAATATAAATTTATCGTCATTAAATCTTCTGCTATATACTCCTCCTTTATATTCCATAATGCATCTAACATGATCATTATGATTTCATCATGAGTTTTGATTGCTAATCCATAATTTCTTAGTTCGAGTTCAGAAATTGTATTTTTGAAGTTCAATAAATATTGCTCACTGTATTTGAAATAATTAAAAAAATATTTAGAGAAGTTGCAATGCAATTCTATAAGGTCCATGGAAATAGAACATTTTGTATATACAATAACAGATATGAAAATTTTAAATATAATCATTATGATGTATAACTCCACTACTGGTAACTTAAATAAATTCTAGACAACATTAAAAAATTAACACTTGTTCTATAATTTTCCTAAAAGTTAGAATAAATACTTTATAATAATTTATTTAATCCTTTAAATAATATTTTATTTGCTTTATTTGTATTTGCTTTATTTGTATTTGCTTTATATCTCAAAATGACATGTTCATACATTGTATGCTTTGATTTTTTTTAGTTTTAGTTTATCTACTTTTACACTTATGACTTTTTGTAATATAAACTTAAATGAATTCCTTTTAATTTAGTTTTAGCTTAGTTACAATGCTGAGAATATATTAAAGATATTGATTTTACCATGATGTATTTTTTTCATCTGTTCATGTTTAGGTTTACTCATTTTTATCATTGAGTATTTATGAACCGCACTACCCCAGTGTACTAGTGGAAAAAGGCTAATATCTTTTAAAATACTAGTTCGAAATCGATCAGTATTAAAATTATTGGCAATAACAAAATACAAATTTCTTTTATTAAAATAAAATTCTTATGTTCTTAAAAATAAAATAATTTTCAACGTGAACTGATCGAAAATCTTGTAATGACAATTATTTGAAATAATTAAAGATAATCAGATTTATCGGTTATATACCACGAACGTGTTTATCTCATGTACGTTTTTTAGTTACCTGTCTATTTTTAGAGAACTATTCTGTTTGAGTGATTATTGAGTTTTTTTACTAGTTATGAAACAAGTGTTTCGCTTTTTTGGTACATTGACAGTGCTCACCGGGGCTCTGGATACAATCCAGACCTAATCCGGGAGGAGGTGATCAGCACCACTCTCTNGTACCCGTCTATTTTTAGAGAACTATTCTGTTTGAGTGATTATTGAGTTTTTTTACTAGTTATGAAACAAGTGTTTCGCTTTTTGGTACATTGACAGTGCTCACCGGGGCTCTGGATACAATCCAGACCTAATCCGGGAGGAGGTGATCAGCACCACTCTCTGCTGCGTCGTAGAAGCACTTTGCAAACTTCCAACCCACAAATATCCACTGATAATTAGCGTTATTCTGGTAAGAGCAATCAATGTTCTAAATATCCAAATAGCCATTGACACAAAAAATCTAAATCCGACAGTAAATCAATTTCTAATTACCCCTAATCTCGAACTAGCTTCCTTACTGAACACGGCTACTTTGCGAATATTCCTAGCACTTAACTATATAGTATAGGAATCATACGTTTTGACAAATGTATCTCTGAAGGAAAATTTTGGGAAGGTTATGAATGTTGTGAACGTTGTTTTATTCAGACGTATTAATATAAAGAAACTCAGTAGAGGAGAGTCGCGCACAGAGATGACGTGGCATAGTTGGGTCAAGTATAATGATATCTGACAGTGATTAAAATCACTATCATAAAAAACGCTTCGATGCAAATTTTTAGACAGTGTTTAATTTTAAAAAATTAGAGTGGAAATAGGAATTNCAGTGTTTAATTTTAAAAAATTAGAGTGGAAATAGGAATTGATATTGCTTTTGTAATTAACCACCAATTTCTTAGAATTAAAGATTATCTACAGATTTACATCGAAGCGATTCTTATGATGGTGATTTTAGTCACTGTTAGCTATTGTCTATACTTGACTCAACTATGCTACACCATACTGTGCCCGCGACTCCATTGTGCTACTTTTTAGCTTCGATGCGAAGCTGAGAAGGTATTAATTTTACTATGAGAGAGTTTTAATATGGCAACTTTTAAATAAAAAATTAACTTTTTCAACTTAACTTTTGAAAATGTTCCGGAAATACTGACGCTTATATATATATATCTTAAATTAAAGCTTATGTAATATACTTTAATTTGAAAAAAAAATTGACCTCTGGATTTGTCTTCATGGTGAAAATGACTGCCGTATTCAAAATTATGCTATTTNAATAATTTTTGGCTAAAAATTGTATTTAAATTTAATAAGTATCCTTAAAATTAAGCTATACTAAAGGTGAATAAATACATAATATGCTTACACATGGTCTGTACAAATAATGTTAATCCACTAACTCTATTTCAAATATAATTTTACATAGCATTGTCGTGACAACTCTCACCGAACCGATTTCTTTCAATGATACGTCAAAAGATCACAAATCGTATCTAGTCGAAGACATTACTCTCAAAAATTAAAAAAAAATCCCTCGTTCCCCGTAAATGGGGGAAATCTCCAAAAAAATTACAAATTTAAAAATTACTAATTTTCGAAATTTTTAAAATTTTTTTTTCTTAAAACTGCCATAACTTTGTCAACAATGAACAAATCAATATAATTTTTTTTTATAGATGCTTGATGTCTTTATCTATCATTTGGTATATTTTTTTTTATAAATTTAAACCTTTACCAGCCCATAGGGGAGGATTCAAAATGACAATTTTTTCAACTTAACTTTTGAAAATGTTCCGGAAAGTCTGACACTTTTATATGTATCTTAAATTAAAGCTAATGTAATATACTTTAATATTAAAAAAAAAATGTTGGACTTTATTTTGTCTTCATGGTGAAAATAGTTACCAAATGCTATTTTTGTGTGAAAATTCTCGATTTTATATTTTACATATTTAACTTTTTGAAAAATGTATGGATCAATACAATTTTTTCATGAGAAATAATATTTATATACTTGTTCAATTCGACTTACTTGTTTTTTAAATCGGACTAAAAGAATTTTTTTTTCAAATTAAAGTATATTACATATGCTTTAATTTAAGGTATATATAAAAGTTGTCAGTATTTCCGAAACATTTTCAAAACTTATGTTAAAAAATTTCTACTTTTTATACGCCTTTTTAAATGTTTACAAAAATACATCAAATTATATTGAAATACTTAAAGTATCTATAAAAAAATTTATTTTGATTTGTTCATGTTTAAAAAAATTATGACAGTTTAAGAAAAAAAAAATGTCAAAAATAACCGATTTTTAAAATCAAAATTTTTGTGGGATTTTCCCCATTTGTTGAAAGTGAGGGAATTTTTTTCAATTTTTGAAGATAATGTCTTCGATTAGATTTAATTTGTGATCTTTTGACGTATCGTTGTAAGAAATCGGTTCGATGAGAGCTGAGATAAAGTGATTAGCATTGAAGCTAATATATACTGTATATATATATATATATCTTGTACTATTATGTGCACGTTACACTTGTGCAATCCAATTAGATATTTTATAAAGTTTAATTTTAAAAACTATTACGTATGTGTCGAGTAATATCAAAGACGTGTGATCATAACAAGTTGTCAAAAAAACAATTTCATTAAGACGCCATAGTATTAAGTAGAAATCTTTATTTTCCTAATGTTTTCAAATAAAAACATTGAAAAAATAGCCTTAGAACTGTTCAAGTACTACGGATAATGTATCAGCTGATACGATAAACAACACAGCTGATTGCCATAAAGACCATAGCACCCCCGCCTGCCCCCGTCCCTCTACCTAGTGATATTTTATTTATGTGTGTTATCGGCATGACCAGTGTTAAGGCCATCGGTGGTGGCATTATGATCGTGCGCTCTGTTACGTCGCGTTTGTTATTGTACGCACCTCTTCTTTGTTTTGCGGCTACATAATTGTATCTGTGTATGTGTGTAAACAAAATTATTGTCGCATTGGTATGACGAGTTGTGACGGCTGCTGTATCTGTATCTACAAATGCGACATCAGTGACAGTAGGCTTAACGTTAGTTACTAGTTAGGGAAGACGTGGTTGGGAAAGAGTGGTACGGCGACGAGACGGCATAAGCGTTTTCGGACAATGGTTTTTGTTTCGTTGTACCGAAGCGCAGCCCGTCAAGTCGTCACTCACGTCGAAGTTGTCCCGCTCAGTCCCAACTGAACTGTCCAAATCTGATAAATAGTAATATTTCTGTAAAAATAATTTATGTTGACGATAGTCGACGATCTTACTAAATACCAGTAATATTATGCAGTCGTCCTTTTCGAGGTGAATGTCAAGGCAAGTACTCGTAAACTCTATTTAATTTGTAGAATCAATGAACTCTTCCCCACTTTGCGCTCAAAATTTTTATCGTGCTACCATAGCAATCGCGAGCCGAAATTTTTTCGTTGTCCAAACAATGACATGATAAGTGATATTTTTATTGAAATAACAAATTATATTTTCAAAATTGAATTATGTTTAATTTTTCAAGTTGTATATTTTCAAAAATAAAACAATAGAATGGTAAATAGTGTACTGGTTTATTTTATACTTTCTGTTAGATAAAAATTATTTTTCATTAAATGGCAATAATAACATGAATCGTGAACTTTGATAGGATATAGTAGTTTTGTATGTTTGAGACTACTATTACTCCTTTTTAAAATTGTAATTACTAATTTGTATTATTTTAGACTTGGTATTTGTTCTGTCATCAATTAAAAAAATGATAGTTTCTTTTTTACGGTACAATTCATCTGCTTAATAATTCGTAAATAATATCAATCCCACAGTGATTCATATAATTTAATTATTCACTTTGCTTAAGAAATTTGAATATTTGTTAATTTATTGCCATGCAAATTGTCAGATACTGAAATATTTTGTATAGGTATACTTCAAGAGGACTGAAGCCCCACTGAATTTCGATAGCCCCCTAACAATCTTAGGGTAATAGTGATAATATAGCTATTTTTAAAAATTGACGCATTGTTGTTTTGTTTAATGTTAAGTTGAAAGTTATTTTTTTACGACAATTAGAAAAAAAACAAATGGTAACATTTATTTAGCCTTAAGCTAAACTTAAGTTAATAAACATTGAAATAATTGATAACTTTTCTTAACTTTTTAAATCATAAAAATTGTAATTTAAAATTTAATTTTACAGTTAAAATTTGATAATGGATAGTTTAATTAGAGATGTGCCATCTAATATATACCATCACAATAATTCTACAGTTTCAAACATGAAACATAGTTATGTTCAAGTAATGCATAAAATAATATTTAATATTTTTAACAAATTTTATGTGATATTTTATTTAATGTAATTGTATTTTTATTGTAGTTAACTAAAACACTTTTAGATGAAGATGCTCAAATAAATAAAAAACTACCTAAAGAACTTTTATTACGGTACATTTTTGAAACTATCATATAGTCTTCAATTAACATTATATAATATTATGTGTTAAAAATTATTTTTTAGAATATTTTCATACCTAGATGTTGTTTCACTATGTCGATGTGCTCAGGTATCTCGTGCTTGGAATGTACTTGCTTTAGATGGAAGCAATTGGCAAAAAATTGATTTATTTGATTTTCAGACAGATGTTGAAGTATATTTCATATCAGTGGATATATTTTTTTTTTTGCAATTTTTTAATGGTATAATAAATTGATCACAGGGGCCAGTCATAGAAAACATTTCTTGCAGATGTGGTGGTTTTTTAAGGCAAATAAGTTTGCGTGGATGTCAATCAGTTGGAGATGGTTCTTTAAAAACTCTTGCTCAGTGTTGTAATTTTATTGAGTATATCAACCTTAATGGTTGCAAAAGAATTACTGACAGGTTATTAAACTAAATATTTTTATTTAAGAATGATACTAACGTTTAATGAAATACAAATATTTTTACAGCACTAGTCAATCATTAAGTCAATATTGTAAAAAACTTTTGTCAATTGATATAGGCTCTTGTTCTATGATAAGCGATTTATCATTAAAATCATTATCTGATGGCTGTCCTAACTTAACTCATGTTAATATATCTTGGTGTGATGGAATAACAGAAAATGGTAAACTTAATTATAATCAAATGAAATAAATTTTTTTTTACTACAATGAAATGTATTTTACAGTGAAAAATTTAAGTATTACTGTAAAATTTGATGAATAAAAATAACATTAAGAAGGGGTTATAATTTTTTTTTTTCGTGCTCAGCAAGGTTCTTGTGCTGAGAAATATCTTGCCCAGTTCTGCTGCTCTTATTTCAATTCTTTGTCAGATTCCTATTCATCTACTTTCTAAGGTATATGTTTTTTCACTGAGATTCAATCTTTTTATTATTCATAGGAGTTGAAGCTTTGGCTCATGGATGTCCCAAACTAAAGTCTTTTATATCAAAAGGATGTACTAGAATGACAACACGAGCTATAAGTTGTTTGGCACAGCATTGTCCGAAATTAGAGATTATTAATTTGCATGGCTGTAATGTAATTATACAAACAATTGTTGCCATTTTTTTTTTTGTATTGATTATAATTTTTGCTGGATGTTTTTCAGAATATTGAAGATGAATCTGTGATCAATTTGGCTAGTAATTGTAACAACCTTAAATATTTGTGTCTAGCTAATTGTTCATTGTTGACAGATAATTGTCTAATAGCATTAGCTCAACAATGCTATCAATTAAATACTCTTGAAGTTGCTGGGTGTTCTCAATTTACTGATCTAGGATTTCAGTCTTTATCCAAAGTAAATAATTAATGAATATTAATATATTTTTCTATTAATTTCAGTTATTTTCATTTTGTTATAAGTAAGGCTATAGAAGAGTTCAAATGATTAAAGTGTTTTAACTATAAAAAATATAATAAGTCAATAGAAAATAGCCTTATGCTAATATTAAACAGAGAGCTAAGGTTGGGGTTTTTATCATAGTAAAAGTATAAAATAATTTTCCTAACTTTCTTCAATGTAATTTTATGTAAAGATTATGATAAATGTATTTCATTTTTAGTTTATTTTAGTTAAGTTTTACCAATTTAATAGTTTAATATTTGATTAGACTTGTCATTTAATGGAAAAAATGGATTTGGAAGAATGTGTTCTTATTACAGATTCTACACTAGTCCATTTAGCCATGGGATGTCCACGTCTTGAATATTTGGTAAGTTAGTAAGACTTTTTAATTTGATCACTTAGGCAAGGAATCAAACTCAGTCGTGTTATAATTTAGGCATAGTGTTCTACCATAAAATATTTTAAACGATACTGAATTTATAGAAAATATTAAAATATTAATAAACCTTCACATTTTACTTTTATTTGTAACATCTTATATAAGATTATTTGTCTAAAGACTTTTTTTCAAAATTTCTTAAAAAAATGTTGTTTTTATATTCAGCAATTATTTTCTTTTGCTTATAATATTTTATTGTAATATTAGTAATAGGTACCCCTCAATTTTTTATATATTTATATATTCCATCATTCTGATCAGTACAATACACTGGAAATGAGCTATCTTCAGAACTGGTTAATGTTAATTTTTAGCTGTAGCGAGTATTTTTTGACATTTTATATGCACTACATATTTTTTCATGTGTGTATCCAGTATTTAAATTTTTTTTATGTTTTGGTGTCAATGAAGCCTTCCTCCAGTTCTTAGCCCTTCACAGCTGATAATGTATTTTTTTAAATTAATACTTAAAATCAAAATTATCTTATTTATTGTTTGAATACGTAGTGCTATATGCACGTTTTGAAAAAAAATTTATATTTATATTATTATAGGTGTCTCTGATTTATTTTTTTAGGTCCTTCAATATATTTTTATAAAAATTTTAGGGACCCAGCACTGAGAGACGTATTTAAAGACTATCCCCTGTTTTAATTATTAATTATTAATTTATTGGTAGTGATTATTTTACTGGCTATGTGATTTGAGTAATGATACGTTCTTTAACACGTGGTGTGCCAATGTCTTGCATGTAATGATCAAACTACTTACAAATAGTTTGTCAGTTTGGGACATATGATCTACTAGAATAGTGGTTTGTCATGTTTTACAATAGTTGATTGTACAAAGGCGTTTAACACATTCACTAATATAAAAATTGTAGTTGGAAAATTTTTTATTAATGTTCTTTTTTTTATTATTCTCTGATTCCTTTAATTTGCAGACAATGTTTATTCCCTTATATTAAGTTAATTTTTTTTAAATTAAACAAAGCCCTTAATTTAACCATATTACAATCTCTTTTACTTGTGTGTTCCTTCTTTAATAGACTTGTGTATTTTATATCAATTACCCTTCAAAAACAATGTCCAAGTTTATAAGGTACAGGCATTGGCTTATTTTACGTCATCCTATTTAAACATGGTAAAGTGACAACTTAACCACAAGGTTTTTGGCATACATCAGTAGTCAACTATCATTAGATACAATTAATTTTATTTATAAGCTTACATTTTTTATCATACTGAATATTTAATTTGACATGTTTAACATAGTAATTTTATTTTTATTTTATAAGTTTTTATAATAACTTATAATACAATTTAAAAACTTTAAACATTTTTTTTTATTTAACATAAACAAGAAAATTAGCTTTAGTGTTTAATTTTTTTTTTTTTAGCCAAAATTTATAAGTAATTTTTTATAACCTGTCAATATTTACTAAAATCATTCATAAATTTCAGAGTTTATCACATTGTGAACTGATAACTGATGAAGGAATTAGGCATTTGGGCACATCCGCATGTGCATCAGAACATTTAGCAGTACTAGAATTAGATAATTGTCCTTTAATAACTGACGCATCTCTTGACCACCTTATTAACTGTCATAATTTACAAAGGATAGAATTATATGACTGTCAACTGATCACTAGAACAGGAATAAGACGACTTAGAGTAAGCAATTACCATGTTGTGAATTCAAAGTGTCAGCCTTTTATGAATATTGCATTAAAAAAAAATACTTTTATCTATTTTATTTAGACTCACTTACCAAATATAAAAGTACACGCATATTTTGCCCCTGTGACACCACCACCATCTACTGGCAACAGTCGTCAACGTTATTGTAGATGTTGTTCTATTTTGTGAGTCCAACTTAAAGGTTGGTCATGTATTTCACATTTATGTTCAAGACTAAATATTTGACAAGCATTAGTCAATAAATTTGTCAAACACATTAAGAAATGATTCTTTATTAAAAAGAACAGTTTTTAAATGTTGATTATTATTTTACACATTCTGAATTGATAAAATATTACTACATAGTAGATGTACCACATGTAATTTTAAGTTTTTTAAAGGTATTTTATACTTAAAAATTGATAAGAAATATTCAAGATGTTAAAATGTATATTTTTTTGTATGTAAACAAAAATACTAAAGTACACTTTTAAAATGAATAACATTCAAGTTAATTTGTTCTTGATTTTAATTTCTAATTGAAATTTGTATTTTGTTTTTGATCAAAGAACTAAAGTATTGAAGTTTTAAAAAATTATAACTACTTTAATTACATGATTGTTTACTTTATTTTTAAGTGTTACAATAAATCATATTGTTATTATCAGTTTTCAAATAATGTTCCTGTTTGACAATACAAATTATTATGTTTCTTGAGATTTATTGAAAAATTGTTGTATTTTAACCTTGCAATAATTAAACATTTAAATTATTTGTTGGATAGAAGTAATTGATAATTTATTATATTTTGTTTTCAGTGTGATGTTAACCGAACAAAATTATTCCTTTTTTGTATTATATTTTTGTTTTACTTCCTATTTTTTTCAATTAATTAATATGGTGATGTTTAATTTTGTTTTTTGTTATATAGTTTTTTAATATACCTAACATGTTTTTTGGGTATATCAATATGAATAAATCTACTACAATATTTATGATAAAACTCATTTCGATCAATATTTAAAATTTTTATTATTCATTTTTAATAATGTATGTTTTTTAAGCAAAAATTATGGTGCATGCAGTATTTTTAAAAAAAATGTTATTAAAAAATAAGCACTTTAAATGTTAATTTCAAATTTAAAATAAGATTCTGATTTATATTTCTAAGTCGCCAATTTATTTTTAGTTGATTAAATTCTATTACTTATGCTAATAACATTGTATAATTGTATGAATTAAAAATTTTTATTTTGGAACAAAAATGGGTACATTTTTAAATTAAAGCATATGTATTAAATTACATGACACAAGTTTTATGCTAATATTTTATTCAAAGTAATTAATTGAAATCAAGTAATATTTTTTAATTATCTAGGATAATTGATTTTTAAAAATGTTAAATTTTTAATCACGCTATTAATAAGATTTTACAATAACCCATGATTTTATCACATAATATTTTATGCATACTACAGAAATTAAATTATTCATTGTATGATTTTACATTATTAAGAAAATATTGAATAGGTTTTTAATTCAAAATATTTTTGTACTTTTTATTACATTATTATTATTATTATTGATTTTTAAAAAGATTTTGGAATATTTTACTACCTAAATTAATTTTGTATATCTACATTGAATGAATCAATGTACAATATAAAATTTTATTTGTACAGTAATTGTGCAGTTATGCATATAATATAGAAACTGTGATTTATATTTTGCTTAATGATTATTTTGTGAATAAAATTACAGTAAACTCCCGATTATCCGTGGAATAGGGTGGCAGGACATCCACGGATAAACGAATTCCGCGGATAATCCGCAAAATTAAATTTTACAATAAAAACTAAGTTGAAATTGAATTTATTTAAATTTATTCACAATATATTTATAATAATAAATATAAATTATTAAAATAAATAATATTTAATATTTAAATAAATGTTAAATGAATAAATAATTAATTAAAAAAATCAGTCAAAAGTTTTTGTTTCTTTGTTTGAAAACTCTTCTTTTTAACTTGTGATTGAAGTTTTTTTAATAACATTTTGTCACACAGAGTTGTATCGTCTTGTTCTTCTAGATATTTAATGATCCCGTCTATATGTTTTAGAGCTTCTTCATGGCTCACTTGCTTTACATCATNATTTTTAAGTTTTGTGTAATTATTCTTAGTAGTCTATTTAATATTTTTTGTGTTTAAATGTATTAATTTTGATAAATATTTATGTTCAGTTTTCAAGAATAAAATTTTAAACTTATTTAAAATATATAAAATTTAAACATTTTTAAATCAAATATCACTTTTTCTCTCTAAATAACATCAAAAAAACCCAGCACAGTGTGGTTGAGTTACTATGACACACTGAGAATGTGTCATAGATGGGTCAAGTATAATGATATCTAACAGTGATTAAAATCACTATCATAAAAAACGCTTCAATGCAAATCTTTAGATAGTGTTTAATTTAAAAAAATTAGTGGATTATTCCAAAAACTACATGATCTCCTATTTCCTTATTTATCCTGATAACAAGTTTTATGATTTATAAGTGTCATATAATGAATAAATGTATAAAGGGAAATGGTGTTATTTAAAAAAAAAAGTATGCCGAATGAAAGAGGGATATAAATATTATTTCTCATAAAAATTGTTTAATAAGTAATGTCTTTTTTTATTATTTACTATGACAACTTATTAAATTGAAACTAAAATTAATTTATAAAATACTAATTAGTATTTGCAAAACATTTTTTTATTTAAGATAAAATGAATGAAATAATTCAACTACAAATTGGTCAATGCGGAAATCAAATTGGAAGTAACGTCAGTTAACTGTTATTTCTTAGTAAATTAAATAATTCAAAGTCATAAATATTAATATGATTGTATAGTTTTGGAAAACAATATCAGATGAACACGGAATCAATGAATCGGGGGAGATTATCCAGTCATATAATATTCACTTAGATCGAATATGTGTTTATTACAATGAATCATCTAGTAAAAGATGTAAGCCACTGTATAAAGCAGGTTGATTGTTTAATTTTATGAATGATTTCAGATAAAAAATATGTACCTAGAGCAGTGCTAATAGATTTAGAGCCTGGAACACTAGAATCGATTGGCAGTGGTTACAAATGCAAGTTTAGTCATCAAAATTTTATTTCTGGAATAACAGGAGCTGGAAATAATTGGGCCAAAGGATATAATTTAGACGGAATTGAGATGTTAGATCGAGTTTTGAATACTGTGAGGTAGAAATTGAATTCATAAATAAAATTGTTTCGTCATTAATTTAATATTGTAAATAGAAATCATAATTATGTTAAAACTAAATTATTTAAATAATTTAGATGAGTAAGCTGAAAATTGAAGATTCCTTGTTAAATTTATAAAAATATCTATCAAAATTACTTTTTATTAAATTTTAATACTTTTTTAAAATGTTTAGAAAGAGGTCAAACATCCTTAGGGGTTCAGACATTAAAAAATTTTACTCGTCACAAATTTTACTAGTCTGTCATGATTAGTAGCATACAGTTTTTCTGGTCTTTTACTCATAATTTTAGCTTTAAGCGAAGTGAAGAAGGTATTAATTTTACTGTGTTTTTTTTACTTATTATTTTTGTTTCTGTTACCACTTTTTCTCAGCTTTCACTGAATCCATTTCTTTCAACGATACGTCAAAAGATCACAAATCATATTTAGTCGAACACATAACTCTCAAAAATTGAACAAATTTCTCTGGTTCCCCGTAAAAGGGGGAAATCTACAATAAAATTACAAATTTAAAAATCACTAATTTTCGACATTTTTTCAATTTATTTTTTTAAATTTTTAAAAATAGATAAATAAAAATAATTTTTTTTTTATAGATACTTTAGATATTAGATATTTAGATTCAATAACTTCAATAGAGATCAAGGACTCTATCATTGAAGTCACCTTTCGTTTGAAGAAATGTATCATTCATATTAAAGTTTTTTTTCTATGTAATTTTTTTTTTATGGTTCTTATTTATTTTCTTAGCTCTCACTTGACCAACATTTTTTAACGATACATCAAATAATCACAATTATTTTCTAGTTAAAAATTCTACTCTCAAAATTTCCACTTTATCAATTAAAAAGTTACTTAGCCCACAATCTCCATATAGACAATAAAAATTATTCATTTTTAATGTTTTTAAAGTATTTATTGTTGAATTAGGTTTGATATGATAATAGGATTCAACTACAAAATTAAATAATTTTACTTTATAATATATTAATTTTTTTATTTTATTAGTGTGTTACTACCAGTCTTAATAATAATAATAGAAAAGATTATTGGTGATAGAAAAAATATAATTCCTGATTTGAAATTAGCACGAAAAATTGAATAATAAAAGTATATTTTTGACTCTGATGAAAATTTTTTGCAGATAATTTATTCAATTTTCTACAATTTTTATACACGTTTGCCATAAAGGTAATAACTACTTTACAATTTTTTATAAATTCGCCGAAAAAATTACAATACTGAATTATTTAATATCAATCTCATACTATATTTAATTGCTATAGTAAATATTTATTCATATATTATTACTATAAATCATAGAACTACTAATTAGGAATAATCAAGGAAATAGGAGTTAATTTTATTTTTGGAAAAACTCAACAATTTTTTAAAATTAAACACAATCTACAGATTAGCATCGAAGCGTTTCTTTTGATAGTGGTTTTAATCACAGTCAGATATCATATATACTTGTCCCAACTATGCCATGTCCACTAGGGTGGCCCTCAAAAATCGAATGTCTTTTTTTTTTTTACACTACCCCTTAATTTTTTTTTAATGGTCAAAAAAATGAGCTGTGCAAAATTTGGGACCGATCCGTTAAGGTTAACCCGTGCCCCCGGGCCTATTAAGTTGAGTCGAAGAGTCAAATTTAATAGAAATAACTGATCTATGTCTCATAACTTTTTTTTCTCTTAACTTAGAATAATAAAAGTAAAACTCAAGTAAAGGAAATTTTACAAGAAATTCAAAAATAATAACTTCAATGTTGTTTTCTCAATAAATAGCCCACAAAAACACTACATACAGTAAAAAACATGTAAAAGTCTTAAAATACGTTATAACTGATTTTGTTGATTTTTAATTATTTATTTTCATTTTATTTTTTGGAAAACGCATATTCGTTTAAAAAAAGATTCTAGAAGTTTAATTTTTTATGCCAAGTACGATAATTATATTAGATTTATTATTTTATGGACAGTTAATTAATGATTAATTACAAACCTAACAGTTTAATTTAATTGTTATTAACAATTTTTAATTTATTTTTTTTTAAATAATAATAACTTTAAAAAAAATATTTTAACAATAATTAAATTATATTATTGTAATATATTTTTTGATAATGTACTTTTTTTACAATTAGGAAATTTTTTCCGATAAATACTTACTATTTGTAAAACATATTGTTTCTGTTCTTCATTTATAGTTTATATTTAATGTAGTCTTAGATTAATTTAATGCCACGCTAGGCTGTATCATTAATGACTCGTAATTTACTTATAGTATTTAAAGCATTTATGTAACTGTTGTTCGCACTCCAAAATGATGGATCAATTTTCAAAAAATCAGTGTTCAGATTAAATAGTTGTAAATTTGATGGTAACTTACTACCAGTTATTTCGTGGGAATAATTACCAATAAGATAAATATTAGTTCGTAATACCTTTAAAGACGCTAAAAGTATTGTACATTTGTGATTAAAACGTATCATTTAATATATAATAATAAACATGTAAAATATATTTAACGTGTTCACAAATTGTCTGCTGCATTTATACGACACAAATTATGTCAGTTGTCGAAAATAACTCAAATATACTTATCTTTAATAATAATATAATTGGTACTATCTTAAAGTAATTCAGTAAACCAAAATTGATATATTGATACGACAAAATGTAATAATACAATCAATTTTGTTAAGTTTGTAATTAATCATTAATTAACTGTCCATAAAATAATAAATCTAATATAATTATCGTACTTGGCATAAAAAATTAAACTTCTAGAATCTTTTTTTAAATGAATATGCGTTTTCCAAAAAATAAAATGAAAATAAATAATTAAAAATCAACAAAATCAGTTATAACGTATTTTAAGACTTTTACATGTTTTTTACTGTATGTAGTGTTTTTGTGGGCTATTTATTGAGAAAACAACATTGAAGTTATTATTTTTGAATTTCTTGTAAAATTTCCTTTACTTGAGTTTTACTTTTATTATTCTAAGTTAAGAGAAAAAAAAGTTATGAGACATAGATCAGTTATTTCTATTAAATTTGACTCTTCGACTCAACTTAATAGACCCGGGGGCACGGGTTAACCTTAACGGATCGGTCCCAAATTTTGCACAGCTCATTTTTTTGACCATTAAAAAAAAATTAAGGGGTAGTGTAAAAAAAAAAAAGACATTCGATTTTTGAGGGCCACCCTAATGTCCACATTATGCCGTGACCCCGCTGTACTACTGTTTTTTAATTTTATCTTTGTTAAAAGTTTTGTGATTTAACAGATTTATGATGTTATAAGTATAACGCATGATAAATACTTCATATAGGTGTTAAATCTAGTAAGAAATTGATATACTATACTTTAATATTGTAATTTTTACGGAGAAATTATAAAAATTATAGTACTAAAAAAAATTATAAGTACTTTAAGTATGATCTTTTACTTCTATGGCAAATATATTTAAAAATTTATTCACAAAATTGATGCAATACATTTTAAAAATAATTTTTTTGCTAATTATGAATAAATATACTAGTGTAATAAATACACTGTCTACAGATTTGTATCGAAGCGTTTATTATGATAGTGATTTTAATCACTGTCAGATAGCATCTATACTTATTCAAACTATGCCGCGACCCCACTATGCTACTATTTTAGCTTCGATGCGAAGCTGAGAAGGTATTAATTTTACTATGATGTGTTTTTTTTTTTGTATGTCTGTAAACTTTCAATCTCAGCTCTCGCTGGACCGATTTTGATGAAAAATATGTATCTAATCGTATCTAGTCGAAGACATTACCCTCAAAATTTGAAAAAATTCCCTCGTTCCCCGTAAACAGGGAAATCCCCCAAAAAATTACAAATTTAAAAATCGCTAATTTTCGAAATTTTTTTTTACTTAAAATTGCCATAACTTTTTTAAAAATGACCAAATCAAAATAATTTTTTTTTTATAGATACCTTAGGTATTTACCCATCATTTTATATATTTTTGTGAACATTTGACCCTTTACAAGCCCACAGGAAGGGTTTCAAAATGGTAACTTTTTTACAAAAAATTAACTTTTTAAAATGTTTTTCTATTTCAGTTATCCATTACGATAAAAATGCAAAAAAATATTGATCTACTCTGATAAATTTACTATAAATAGTAATTATAAAACTTCCTAACTGCATATTAATCTTAATGATACAATTTTTTTAATCCTCATAAAATTTTCTATTTAATGATGTCAATTTCAAACTTGCCAATTGAGTTAAAAGTTATGGTAAAATAAATTATTTTTTTTATTATAAACATTTACAAAAATCAATTTTAAACGATTAAAAAATAGGTTAAATATGTCATTTTCCTTATTTTTAACATATTAATAATCAAAATCAGTATTAATTTAAAACAATTTTTTTTTTTTTCTTAATTGTTTTTTTTTTTATATGTAAATACTTATTTTTTAACAATAAGTAATAATATTAAAACTTAGAAGTATTAGAAAAAGTTTAATTGCACATTTGAAAACATCGCGAAAAGTTGATTTAGAAAAGTATATTTTTGTTTCTGGTGAAAGTTCCTTGTAGTTTAGTGTATTTATTCATAAGTAACAACATTTTTTTATTAAAAAGTATTGCATCAATCCCTTTAAATTTTTATACACGTTAAAAGTATATGAATATACTCTTTTTTATTTTTATAATATCTCCGTAAAAATTACAATATTATTGAATATCAATTTCATACTAAATTTAATTACTATAATTATTATGTATTCATATATTATAATTATAAATCGGGATAAAATTAAGGGAATAAGAGTTATGGTTGTTTTTGAAATAATCTACCAATCTTTTAAAATTAAACACTATCTACAGATTTGCATCGAAGCGTTTCTTTTGATAGTGATTTTAATCACTTTCAGATATCATCTATACTTGTTCAAACTATGCCACGTTCATACTGTGCCGCGAACTTACTATGCTACCGTTTTTTTTTTTTTTTTTTGATTAGATATATAGTAATTTTAAAAATCAGCATTGAGTAATGACTTAATTTTATTTTCGCACACATTTTTTGATGTTTAATTTAATGAAAAAAATTGAATTGTGGTAAAAATCTAACGTAGCTCTAAAATAATACAGTTTATATTTTTGAAATAAATAAGGTTTATACATTATATATTTTTAAATTTGAATAATCCATTTAATAATTTTTATTACAATTTTTTTTATAATTATAAAAATATTATTTCTATTATAATTTTATATTTTTTCCATAATAGATTTTTTTTTTAATAATATACAAATATTTTTATAACTACATTATAATATTTAATGTTATATCAACTTTCTTATAATAATAATCTTTTATAACATTATTTTTTTCTCGTTAAAGCTTACTCAATACTAACTGTTTTCTTACCCCATCAAAGGGGGTAAAAGTATGCTTTGATTTTTAATTTTGTTTCAGTTTATTTCTTATTTAATAAAGTTCTAACTTCACTATTAATATATAACTAATATTTTTTAATTGTTTTTTTAGCTTAAATAACTGTATTATTATATGAGATAAAAATTTGCGCATTTTTATCTCATGTTATTCTATTAATTAGGCTTTATTGCCTATGTGTTAGGTATTTTTCTTGTAGTCTTTGATAACCAGAAATTTTTTATAAATTATATTTTATTTTTAAATTATATTTAATATAATAACAGTTAACTATTTAAAACAATTTATTATAATACGGCAGATGTTTTAAAATAAATGTTTGTCCAATTATTTATAAATAACAGAATATTTCAATATAAATGTATTTAGAGAATATGTTTTTAACTATTTGTCGAACTTTATTTTGTTCAAAAAATTTAAATCATAATTATTATTATTAATTTCCAAATGTTTTTATTAAATCTTGTCAATTTTATTTTTTTATTATACCATGTCATTTTATATACAAAAGCAAATACGAGTTCAAAAAATACAATAAATCAATTAGATGAGTTACTAATGCATCCTGGATGGAGAAACTTAAACGATGTAAAATTTATAAAATATTGTAATAAAATATATTATATTAAAAATTTGATTGAAACACCTACACTTAGCATTCAACTTAAGAAAAAGATACGGGCCTTGACTATATATCTTGGATGCACATATGCAAAAGTAATGAATAATCTTTTTTCAATAATTATCAACTGCATACAAATTTTTAAAAAAGAAAACTACTTAATACATAGATACATTTATGTTGAAGAGCTCATAAACATAATATCCACATTAATTATTCCAATAGCTACATTGATGAAAGGCGCCATGGACGCTTTAGATTTATTACATAAAGTACCATGGTCTTCTTTTAAAAAAAGCAACAATCACTACATAATGAGTCCTTTGTTGGGGAAAATAGGAGATATTCTTGACAAATTAAACGAACAAACTATATCATGTGATAATATATCTGTATACATTTGGGCACTTGATATCATAGATTTATTTTTTAATAATGGAAAAAAAATTTAGAATATGACACTTATCTTTACTGCGAATTCGTACCTTATGATACGAATTATTTATGGAATGAATGGGTTCAAGAAAATATAGTTATTGAGGATGACATTAAATTTGTATTTTTAAAATTTTTATCCAGAAAAATTAAAAATTATGTCACGACAGAAATTATAGAAAAGTATTTTCAACTGGGATTTCTATTTGATCCAATAACTGAAGAAACGTTTGTACCAACACCAGATAAGCTAATTGAACCAGGTATAATAATAATACCAGGAAATAATCTTGTTTCTCCTTCATCTTCCTCGTCTTAATCACAACTACTTGGGGTCAGTCACCCTTATCCTGAACTTCCACTTGACACGATCTCCCACATCATCTATGCTCACATCAGCTGTCTTCATATTACATTCAATAGCATCCCTCCATCTCTTTTTTGGTCTTCCTCTACCTCTTATTCTTTCAACATTCATTTCTATAACTGTTCTACAGCTTCCGATTCTTCTCTCCTCATAACATGACCAAACCATCTAAGTCTATTTTCTTTCATCTATCCACGATTGACGCTATCCTATAATCCCTTATATATGCTCGTTCCTTGTCCTATATTCTCTATCCACTCCATTCATCCATCTAAGCATTCTCATCTCTGCTACTCTCATTCTCTGCTCTACTTTCTTATCAACCGCCCAACACTCTGAACCATACATAATAGCTGGCCTCACTACAATCTTGTAGAATTTACCTTTCAGCCTCAATGGAATTCTTTTATCGCATAAGACGCTAGCCGCTTCTTTCCAATTCAACCACCAGCTCTTAAATCTGTGTCTTACATCCTCGTCAATACCCTCGCTCTAAGGCACAACTGATCCTAAATACTTAAAACTTTCCACCTCTCCAATCACGTACTCGCCTATTGTCACTGATTTCCTCACTGGAAAATAATAAAATATTAATTAAAATATAACTTTAAAGTCATACAAATTTTTTTATTAATCTAGATTTGGAATTTAAATAACAGATGAAGAAAGACTAAAAACTAAGAATTTGGTAATTGTTGAGTGATATTGTCTCATAAGAGAATATACAGATTTTCTAGTCATTTAATTTCCACTTTCATGAATACCTCCCAGACCATCATCAAATTTTGTTAATTGAATATTTTCTATATTTATAAAACATAAATAATCACAATTTACATTATTATTTTTTTATTATTAAATTATGATTAATATAATAATATGACATTATTTAAAACAATTAATTGTAATACAACAGATGTTTTAACATAATTGTTTGTCTAATTATTTATAAATATATAATACTTGTCTTTAACTCTTTATCAAATTATATTTTGTTCAAAAAATTTCAATCATAATTATTATTATTAATATCCAAATGTTTTTATTAAATCTTGTCAATTTAATTTTTTTATTATACCATGTAATTTTATATAAAAAAACAAATACGAGTTCAAAAAATACAAAAGATCAATTAGATGAGTTACTAATGTATCCTGAATGTATAAAATTTAAACGTTCTGAAATCATAAAAATCATTCTGTATGTAAAATTCTGTATTCTTTATAATTTTTTAATAGTAACAATATTTTCTATAGGGAAGAAGGCCTATATAAGTTTTAATTCGATACTGAATTATTATTCTTTTTTTATTAATACTTTTGATAAAAACACGGATTCTTTATATGTAGTTGTATAGTTTGTAAACTGCATGCGTGGACGGTATGCGGGGCAAGATTTCTATGAATGGTTTAAAATCTGAAATTTTCACGAATACTATTTCAATATTTAGCCTAATATTAAAATTTTTTCCAAACGTCTCTTTCATCTTCTAAAGCGAGAAATATGAGTTTTTCTTAAAGTTGTCATTTTCGTCGTCTTACCCAACTATGGGGCATGATAACAAAAACGATAGTAAAACATTGTAACCAAAACTATTGTTAAAGCAATGGGTTCTTATAAATTAACAAAGTGTACCGTAATAGACTAATATATTAAGAATGAATTGCTATGTGTAATTTATTTTTAGAAAAAATGAATTCCTCATCTTTCCCTACTTGTCATCTTGCTTGTTCGTTAAGGTGCGTATCGATTATGAGCGGCAGCCGCGCGAGCCATGTTCGTCCGCAGCAATCCGTTTATTTGGCGCGCGAGCCATTTTAACTTAGACCCAGAGAAAAACCTCGATCTATATAATAAATTCATTGTTCAAATTGATAAATATGTCATTACTATTGAATCTATGATATATTTATCAATATGATATTTTTTTTTCTTGTCTTGAACAATAATTATTCATAAGAATAATTATTTTGTTCGTATTGATAAAACATTATCAGAAACCCTTGATAAAATTTCTCTATCAAAATTGATTGAGGTTTTTCTTTGGGTGTATCTTATTTTAGAGCGCGGCAGCCTCACGTGGCAAGTTATCCAGGTTTGGTTGGGTTCCTAACTAAAACTTCTTTGCCACGTGCTATTTTACTGACATAAATTGGCCTCCGCGCGGCAACAAAAAAGTTGGCTCGCGTGGCAACTCGGTATCCATTTGGCGCGGCTGCCGCGTGAGCCAATGTTCGAGGGTTTGCCGCGCATAATCAATACGCACCTTAATGGTTAATATGTAATTAACAGAATTCACTTGCCAAATTTTACCAAGTATATAACTAATGTAAATGATTTATACTACTATAAATTTGTTGTACGTAGTAAATACATTTATCAATTTTGATATATTTATATTTGTTTTAAAAGGCTTGAAGCTGAAAAATGCGATTGTCTTCAGGGATTCCAAATAACTCATTCACTAGGTGGTGGTACTGGTTCTGGTTTGGGTTCACGGCTGATGAGCAAGATTCAACAAATCTATCCGAAACGAATGATAAGTTCATTTAGTGTAGTTCCATCATCTAAAGTTTCAGATACTATAGTAGAACCGTATAATGCACTTATGGCCATGGAACACTTGATATGTGATGTTCAAGGCGTTCATTTAATAGACAACAGCGCCCTATTTGACGTTTGTCGTTGTAAGCTGAACTTGACGTCACCAACTTACGGCGACCTCAATCATCTGGTTGCACAGACTATGTCTGGAGTGACTACCGGGTTCAGATTTTCTGGGCCGGGTAGACAGCAGCAGATGATTGGAGACCTGAAGACGCTGATCACAAACATGGTTCCATTGCCTAAGCTGCATTTTTTTACATCTGGATTAGCACCGTTAACATACAGAACTCAGAGCTCTCGGACCGGTCTTTCACTTGAAGACGTTGTTGGACACTTGGCGGATCCTAAGAGGTTATTGGTGTCATGCGATACGGGACGTTGTTTAGCTGCCGCATTGATGTTCCGCGGCAGTAATGAAATGTGTCCCATTGAAGTTAATAAACTTGTTTATCGTGGCCTATTAATCGATTTTGTCGAATGGATACCGGATAACGTAAAAACGTTCATTTACAGAGGGTTACCGTCCCACGGCCTTAAAGTGAGTGGCACGATAATGACAAACGGTACGAATAGTAAAGGTATATTCCAAAGAGTCTTGAAGCTCTACTCGCGTTTGATGAGTAGAAAAGCATTCCTACATCTATACACTGAACAAGGATTAGAAATTAACGATTTCCAGCAAGCCGAAGAACAAATAAAAAGCCTTATAGCAGATTACTTGGAATGTGAGAAAACAAGTTGCAGCTCAGGCCAAAACTAAAACGTACAAACAATTTATGGAAATAATAAAAATTTCAATTTTTTTATCAGTATTTATATGATATAACACAAAATATCTGTAATCTAATAATTAAATTGAAACAAATGTATTTCAATTTTTTTATACAGAGTGATTTTTTTAACGCTAGCTACTCAAATTATCTTAAAATAAAAAGATTTTTAAATATTAATTATTTAGTTTTTGTTAGTTACACATGTATTTCCTTTTATATGTTATAATACAATTTGTAGGTCCATCCCTTATGTTTTATAGGGGTGTCAAATTTTTTTTTTTTTAGGGCAACATACATAATAAACTAGTTTATAAAATAGAAAATGGTCTAATTAAGAATATAATTAGTCAATTACAACCAGGCACGTAGCCAGAAAATGTTTATTGGATGGGCCAACAATTTTGGGCCCTTGTATCATTTTCCATAATTTGTTTCCCATGAAAAGCTAGTGGGGGGCTCCCTCCACTCCTCCTTAGACAGTATCCCAAACTATGAATCTTACAAGTTCAAAATTTTACCATTGGTTGGTTAAAAACAAATTGTTTTCGTATAAAGTATACTAATTATTACAGTATTGTAAAAAATGGATAGTACCTATAATTAAAAAAAAAAAAGTACTTTCATCTTCACTATCGGGATGAATTTTTCATATTGTGAAAAATAAATAAAATAATGATGTGAACATAAGCTGATTTAATTTTTCAACTTTTAAGCTATGAAGAAAAAATAATTTATACCTATATACTAATAACAAATAAGTTATAAATAATTTTTAAAGTAAATATAAATTATAAGCATTGTAAAATTTATTTTATTTTAAATTAAAAACAATTCCTGCCTTTTTTTAGTCATATTTTTATTACTATTATTTAGAGCACGCAAATAACAAATTAACAAAAACAAATAAATTAACTATTGTAACTACTAAATTATAAAAAATGAAACAGATTAAAGATAAGATTTATCAAAAAATTTTTCATAAAGTATTATTCTATCGAATTTTGTAATCAACTAAATTCTAATCAATGCAGATACTTGGTAGTTTGTTATCATTTGTTGGACCAGAGTTAAAAAAAAATTTACCTACAACTACATTTGGAGTAACTGCTATTCCATTTATTATTACGTCTAGAACGTTATCTTTTTCAAATAACGTTTTCTGTGAATATAAAAATGACAATACAGTCATATTAATAACTGTATTACTCAATAGTAATCACAAATCAATAATAATTTCAATGTATATAAAACCTAGCACGTTTTTAATAATTCGTAAAAATAATTGAATTTTAAATTTGGGGGGACACATTAAATCTAAGGGGGCCCCATATCTACGTGCCTGATTACAATATTTCGGAATTAATTCCCATTTTCATACCTAGGCGAGAGAAAGGGTACGCGGCCGCTTTGTGCCATATTTTTCGTATATTGAGCTTTTTCACAATAAAACTAGTATTTTTCAATCATTACTGTATTAAGCTTATTTTATTTCACAATAATACTAGTATTTTTCGTTCATTATAGTTTTAAGCTTATTTTAAAAATTATTTTTAACAATTTTAGTTCGAAGTGCTTTAATAGCGTGTTTTTTTTTTAGTATGTTTAAACTATATTTATTTTTTACTTTTTAGTTTTATATGCTATGAGAGTGTGTTTTTTAGTTTTTTTAAACTATATTTTTTTTACATAAATAGCTACGGTATGTATGTATTTGGTTAAAATATTATAGTATGTAATATGACTGTAAGTTTCAAGTACTGTTCCGTCGAACTTTTCCCCTGCTTTATCGACTTTATGATGGTAGTTACTATCAATATCATGGTTGTAACGGGTAACGAGGAATCAGGGTTCGATTCCGGAGAGGGAGTCTGAGAAACGGCTACCGCATCCAAGGAAGGCAGCAGGCGCGCAAATTGCCCACTCCCGTCAGGTAGAAGTAGTGTCGAAAAATGACGACACGGGACCTTATCTGAGGCTCGCAATCGGAATGAATACACTTTATATCTCTTAATGAGAACAAAGCGTGTAAATATGTAAACTTTAATAGTAGTTAGTATATATATATATATATATAGAAAAGCGACTTAGGTTCGAAAATATATCATACACAGCTAATAATAATCTTTGCACAATATCGCGCCACTTTCGTTGGCGTCGGCGACGCGGTGTCCAGCATGATCCTCGGTCGTCGAAAAGTTAGCAGCGTTGATGGTGATGGTGCGCGGGTGCGAATCGGTTCGTCGAGTTTGGTCGTGTGGCACGCGGTATTGGTCAGTCAAACAAAAATACTCATAGTAGGGCGACGGCTGATAAAGGTGGTATGAGTGGCGGAGCCTTTTCACAATAAAAATTTGTTTATATATATATAATATTGATGACACGCGCGCGTGTACGGGTACGAAAACCAAAAATAAAATTATACAGGAATAGTGTTGTCGGGGAGCGGGGTGGGGTGAATGCGTTACGATAGTCTATTTTCAAGGCCATAAACGACGGTATACGCGAGAATAACACGTGGCGCGCGGAGAATTACAAACATACATACAGGTGAAACTAATATAAGCGTGTTAAAATAGTAGCACCCACTCATCACTCCAGTCGTTATTTGAAATTGTTAATAACTTCTGAAGTACTGGTTCAAAAATTGAATTCGATCAATCATTAATTAAATTTTTTATTTTAAGCTAGTTTGATACATATGTTATCATTAAAAAAATATATAAAACAGACAGTTATAAGAAATAAACCTGAAAATTATTTTATAACCAATAAATGGAGGTTTAATTATAAATTTTTGTTTATGAATTTACAAATATAAATAACAAAATCCACAAAAAATTTTTTCATAAAACTTATTATTTTAAGAGAAATCGAATGACTAGCATTAAAAGAATCACTCTGGGTGATGTGATCCATTCAATTTAAAGAGATTTCACGCCCCTTCCGAATCAAATCATTTCTCCTCAACACAAGGTCTGAACGATTTTAACTAAAATGTTTCTTCTTAATGTTCTCTTCTATCTATGACCCAATATCATAGTAACTACGTATAAATAATTGTGCCTAGTATTTATGTCGTAATGATATTTTTTCGTCATTCACGTAAAAAACTATATTAAAACTAGAACAGTTTCTCCAAAAATGTTGAAAATTTATATTCATTGTTAACATAGTACGACTTGCGATTATTTTTTTTTCTTATCAATTCAATTATTTTAGGCAATTTTTATTATTATACGAATAAGGGGTATCCCAGCATTATAAACCTATTTTTTGTTTAGTTATAATACGTGACGCCCTGGGCAATTTAAATTATTCCAACTCCTCTGAATATCATACTAATTATCTGTCCATGGATTCATTATTAATATGTTTGTATAACTTCCTAGTTGTTGTACGATATGAAAGAAATAATTTTTTTTTTTCAAATAAATCTAATATTAAAGTTCTCTTTTATCGAAGACCTATTTTATTAATTAGATCATTTTCTATTTTACAAGTTAGTTTAATATGAATGATAGCATTAAAAAAAATAAAGTTGACACTCTGAATAAACCTGAAAATTATTTTATGACCAATAATTGGAGGTACATATGTAACCAGAAAAATCCAAAAGAAAAATGTTCAAAAAATTAAAAATTTTAAGAGAATTTGAGTGGCTAGCATTAAAAGAGTCACTTTGTATTTTAAAAATAGTTGCTGAAGAGTAAATATCTCTAAACAAAATTCAAGCAATATTAAATAATATTGTTTATAATTAAAAAAAAATTGAAAGAACCTATATCATCAGTTTTTAATACTATACTACAATCTTACAAGATTTTAAGATTTAAATTTGAAATTATGTCAAAACTTTCAAAAAATTGTATGCATAACTAAAAATAATTAAGATTGTTATTGTTATAATGAAGTAAAAATTTCAGAATTCTAATTTTAAAGAAAATTAGAATTTTAAAATCAAATATACTATGTGTATGATAAAAAGTCTTCTTATAAGAGGATCTCGCAAATAAATTTGCCTTTATTAAAAATTTGAAACTCTGATTAAAACTTTTAAGGTTATTATATTTTAAACAAATAAATATCAAACAGTCAATGTAAATTAAAATAATAATATTAGTATTTAACTTAAATATTAATTATTTCATTTTACACAAGATGTATTAAAATATATTCCTATGTTTATAAAGAATACAATATTTAACTTTTATATATAATAAAATATTTATTACATAATTATGAAGTTAACTACACAATGTTAATTATAATTTTTTAAAGAGATTACTACACCTATAATATAAAAAACTATATTATATCAGTAACATAATTTTATAATAAAACTATTTCAAAAGTAGTTATTAAAAGGAACATTGATTTTAAAAAATGCCTCCAAGTCGTAATAAATAACTTTGACATTTATTATTTATCATTCAATTTATAATATACAATACACAATAATTATAATGTGTAATATATTAACATAAAAGACAATAATAATAACACATGGTATAATAAATTATTTAAATAGGAATACTTACTTGAAATAAATCATAATTAAATACTCAATTAAAATTAAACATGACAATCATGAGTTTTTTTATGATACTTGTAATGGCTAGAGCTAGTGAATGTTTTATAGCAGATTTCACATTTAAAAGGTCTATCACCAGTATGTGTACGATAATGAACTATTAATCCACCAGAACTGGAAAATAGTTTATCACAAATATCACACTTCAAAGTTTTTTTTTCGTTTATATGTAAATGAGATTTTTGATGGTATTTATAGTGACTTGAACTTGTAAATGATTTGAAGCAAATTTCACATTTGAATGGTCGTTCACCAGTATGCATTCTATAATGGACAACTAAACCTCCTGAACTTGAAAATAATTTATTACATATATCACATTTCAAAGATTTTTTTGATCCCTCATCCAAATGTGATTTTTGGTGATACTTACAGTGGCTAGAGCTTGTAAAAGTTTTATAACAAATGTTACATTTAAAAGGACGATCACCAGTATGTGATCGGTAGTGAACAGTTAATCCGCCATTGCTAGTAAACAGCTTGTTACATATATCACATTTTAGTGGTTTAGAGTCTTGTATGAAATGTTGAGTTTTTTGGTGGTATAAGATACCATTAGCACAAGAATACTCTTTGTTACAAACATGACATTTAAAGGGTTTATTACCAGAATGAACTCTCATATGATAGTTATAATGACTTGAGTTAGAAAAAGATTTGCAACACAAATCACATTTAAAAGGTTTATTTCCAGTATGACTTCTATAATGCACTGTTAAACCTCCAGAGCTAGTAAAAGATTTATTACAAACATCACATTTAAAAGGCTTTGGTTTAGATTCTTCATTTTTCTTCAGTTCTAATTCTAGTAAATGTGTCGTGTTATTTTCTCCTTCCTCAATTTCCACTTTTGGTGAAATAAAATGACCACTTAGAAAAGCTCCATGACTATTGTTAAAATTAAAACTAAGGAAATGTTAGTTAATATCAAAAACTATACATTTTATTTCAATATTATTTTTACTTACTGAGAAGCTCTGAATAAATCACTTCTGTTAAATTTAAATGCCATGTTATTACTATAAGATGGTGGACCTATTTCTATTTCACTTTCAAATATGCAAGAATTTAACATTTCTCTATCAAATTTTATTGTCAATCGGCCATCAGGATTTAATTCATATATACTTCCTGGTACACTAAAAGGTGGTACAGTACAAAAAAAAAATATATTACTTTCTAAAAGTACTTAAAAAATTATATACTATTAATATTTAAAAATAATTTTATTGAAAAATAATAATTTGTAACTGAAGTATAAATTAAAGAATTTATCAAATTATAGGATGTTTACCTAAAATTACCCATTGGTAGACCAGGTTCTAGTAAATTTTCTTGTTTAATATTTGTAACAATTTCATTGTGAGATTGTGTTCTAGTGTTAGGTTGGTCCATACTAAATACTGTTAAATGGTGCACATGAATTGATAACAAAAAATTATACTAAATATGATAAAAAACTAGTTGGACGCTATTTTAAAGTATGTTATTTTAAAAAACATTTGTAAACGATATACTTTATTTTTAAATTAAAAAATTTTAAGTCTTATACTTTGGTTGTAAAATACATAATACTAAGAGCAAAATTATACAGTTAATTCGATCAAGTTACATTTATACTATCGATAATCTCTAACGAACATTTTCTTGAATAATTTGTTAAAATATCACGTGCACGTTCATAAATAATAACCAATTAGATAGTTTATGAACAATTAACTTGATAGAAAAAATACTTAGTAGCCGCCTGTGACAAGTGTAAACAATAATTATCACTCTGAAGGATGCTATTGATAAGAACGATAAGGATGATTCCTTCACTAGTGTTTTATAATTAATAATTTATGAATTTAATGGTAACCATTTTTAATTAAGTTTTTTTCCAAATTTAATTTGAAATTGGATGAAAGAAAATGTTATTCACAATTATTTTCTTATAATGTATTATTTAAAACTAATTTACACAAAATTAATTCTAATAGTTTTTCAATTGTGGTACAGATTAAAATATCCCATTTGTTATAATTTGTGTCGCATAATTAATATCGGCTGAACTATTTTGGGACTCAGTCCCCTGATCTAACAATGTACTCCCTAAAAATTCAGAAAGTATGTTCGTATTATTTAAAATAGTACCCCATTATTATATTACCTATAATTTATTAATAACCAAGACTTAAGATATGATGTCCCAAATTTGTAGTATTAATTATTTTTTCATATTAATTATACTCAATAACTTTTATATTCAATTATCATATGAAGTTTCTAAAAAAAATATAATATTATTTATATTAAAAATTATATTATGAAAATTGTATAAAAATGTAAAAAAGGGTATGTCAATGTTGGGATCTATTTTTCAAATCCCCTCCCATTTGGCGGCCAATATTAACAAAAGTAATAAAGCAGATGTTAGATATATGGTAAATAAATATTTGGTTTTGAAGTAGTCATATTTAGAGGGTGGTGTGGAACTCAAAAATCTTATAAGCGAATCTTAAAATAAAAGAGAGAGTGAAATGTTTAATTGTTATTATACGATCGAACAAAAACAATTTTTTATTTTTAATTTGTCGTCAGATATAGTAATAGTAACAACAATAATAAAAGGTTCTATTAAATTTTGCTTAAAGATTAATTTCATAATTTTGATTTGAATATGATTTGACACCATTATTAAATCTTATTGGTGAAATGAATTATGAATATTTAAAAGAAATTTACAAGCTAATGATAAGGAATCAATTTTGAATGCTTTTTTTTATCGGTATTATAGAGTTTTAGTTATTAGTAGAGATTGGGAGAGCCTTAAGGTAGATTAGTCCCCGAATTATTTATTCGAGTTTTTTCAATTTTTATCACCCTTACAAATTCTGTGATTTCTTTATATTTTATAAATTGGATATTGTTACTGTCGTTGTTACAAAAAATTAAAACTAATAATTAATTTGCGTATTTTGTTAATATGTTTGATATATTGAATCTCAAACGTCTCTCGATATCTTGCCAGTTATTACTAATCAATTTAAAGATATAATTTTATAAAATATGTATAACCGTTAGATCCGATTAATCGATGTTATCTCACTTGAAAAATGATTAATCAATATATTGCGTATGTCTAATCCTGGCTATAATTAGACAAAATAAATTTCGAAAATATTTTTTTACCAGTCCACCTTCTCTAAATTTGCCACTTCTCATCGGTATCTCTCTATATCCTATAAAAGTTGACTATAATCGATAAAATTTTAAATAAGTTTTATATTATTATTAATAAAATGTTAAAAGTTTAACTTTAATTTGCAATTTTAATTACATAATGTATAGAAAGTAGTAAAAAAAACGATTGTTTTTAATATTTGTTTTATGTAATTATTATTTATCTACTGGATTAGGTTTCTATTAAGTTGTTGTAATATAAATAATTGTTATATTAGCTGAATAATTAAGTTATAAATTATTTAATTTATATATAAATAACAATAATAATTATAATATTGTGATCGATGTAATGATTGAAATAACAATTAGAGTATTTCAGATTAAATCTAGGAATTAATTATACGGTTATTTTTATTTTAAATGATTCGGTGATAAATGTTGATAGAGAATATACTCTCTCTTCCAAAACGGATCAATACAACACTTGGAGAATGACAGCCACCGTCACGTGATTTTTGTGTTATCTCGCCGGAACTGTTTTAGATAACAGACAATGTGAAAATAGTATCTCGACAGATGTGGAAATCGTAACCGTTTGCAGTATATCGTGAAAAATGCCGTTTACATATCATGTTCTTTTGCTTGCCTTCGTACAATAATACTTATGATTATCTGTGTCGGACGTGGTGGGAGTACCCATCTTAGTACAGAGCGCGCCTTGCCAGTTGTTAGTCTAGTTTCTACGAGTGTTTATTTATGTGAAAATAAGAAATTTGTAAAGGACGTTGCATTTAAGAAATTTGTTTTATCATAAGCGGCTAGTCAGTGTTCAGACTTCGGTCAGGTAGTTTGTGACTGTCCCATCGGTGCGGTTAAAAATTGTATTGGACCGTGTGTTATCGAAAGTCGTCTTATTTTCTAATTAGCAATCATGCCTAACATTGTAAATGAAATTAAATTGGATTTTAAAGATGTGCTTCTTCGACCAAAAAGGAGCACCCTTAAAACTCGGGCTGAAGTAAGTTCTTTGAAAACAAATTATCGATATTTGTACTATAATAATTTTTATTTATCTATTTTTAGGTAGATTTATTCAGACACATAACATTTCGCAATTCTAAACGTTCGTATAGAGGTATCCCATTGATGGCTTCTAACATGGATACTGTTGGAACTTTTGAAATGGCTGCTGTTTTGGGAAAGGTAATAGGATTGAAAATGTATTTAAATTCAAAAATATTTTGATTTTTTCTTTAAGTTTTTAAATTTATATCAACAAACTATCTGTGTATCATTAGTACTCAGAAAAATGATTTACATTCTAGTAAGTTAATTTTTAGAAGTTAAGAAATGTTTAAAATCTTCGTTCTGTGCATACAAGAAATTTTTACAACCATATATTGATTTAAACTTTAGCGTAATAATGAAACCTGGTGGCTTTGACCCCTTTTTGTCATTTTGTTGTAGTAATATTGATGCTTATAATTCTTTAAAAATTTTTAAAAATAGACATTAGCCGAGACCTAGAAAAGACTGTATAATTGGCAATCATACAAATATTAGACTTGTTATTTTGAATAAAAGTGGTTATTCTTTTCATTTTTTTAACTAGCCTCGGGAAATTATATAAGGGTAAATTCATTAAAAATTACGGGGTTTAACTAAAAATACGCAGACTTATGGATGTTTATTAAGTAATTCGAATGTTTTTACAATTTACAGTTTCATATTTTCAAAAAAGCTTTCATTATATTAATATAAAATAATTTGGTTATCAGTCTTGGGTAGTAACTTAATTTAAATTACAAGTTATAGTAACGAAAGTAATTTTTGTGTAATTTAATTATTGAAATATAAAGAAGTTTTATTTTAATTTCAATTAATTATTTAAGGGTAATTTTGAAAAACTTGTTACTTTATTTTAGCAAATTATTTCAAAAGTTTGCACAGTCCTTAAGTGGCATATTTGGAATTTTATGCTGGGGGTTTAAGATAAAATAAATGACCATACCGCCTCCTCATTGTGTATAAATTTAAGTATTGTCTATCCTTCTGGGTAGGATTCTTTTTCTTAGCAGCAATTACTCCGTAAATACGCCGTCGGTTCAAAATTTTATTATGTCCTTCGAGTAAAGAATTATTACTTGTATAAATGATTTAATTCAAATAAATTTAATATTTTATATAAATAAATTGAAAAGAATAATTTTCATTGTGATTAGCTATTTTTTTTTTTTTCATAAAAGTAATGTAACTTCATTACTTGTTTAGTGAATAATTTTGAAGTAGCTTATATGTTAATCAATTGAGTGATTTGTAATTTTAGTTAATTAACACTAAAAAATGCGACATAAAAGTACTCGAGTACGTGCTCCCGATTCTATTCAGTATTTTTGTTGTACAAGAAAAAAATAAAGCTTGAAAATTAAAATTTTTATTATGCACCCCCTTTCAAAATTCATTTTCAACGACGATACCGTTGCTTTTTAAAAAATGGTAACTATTTATTCGTTATCTATGGTAAGTAATGTAACTTTTGTTTGTAACTGGTACCGAATATTTTAAAGTTGTAGGTCAAAGGTAATATATTATTGTTGAACTATTGAATGAAAACTTCGAGTTCACGACATATTGTGTGAAAGAACTTTTAAAAATCGATAATACAAAGCGGTGGCTGAACTAAAAATCATATTTCTTTAGTTCCATGTTAAAATTTAAAAACTTATAATATACTTAATAAAAAAAATTCAATGCTCTTTAAATGAGGATAAAATGCAACTTGCATATAATGTGATTTGGTGAGTCCATTTAAATTACTATTAATTAATATAACCACACATGTTTTTTTAAACTGAACTATTATTTATGGCTTTTGCGAAATTTTTTTTTTTGTACTTAATTATTTATGTGTTAACAGAATATCTTGATATTCGATTAGTCTCGGTAGTTGGCCGTACTTCGTTCAAACTATTACTATCTAAGGCAATAAATGTTTTTGAGCTACGACGTGTTTAAGTTTTGCTCTTAAATTTTGTTTAAAAACTTTTTGTCGATTTTAATAAACAAAAATTTTTTTGGTAATTAGTTTAATAAATGTAATACGGTTGAAAATTGTGTAACTTGTCTGTTAAATTACTTTGCGTTGATGTTGTTGTAAAATACATTGAAAATTTCGACTATTTAGTTTCAAATTGATGACCTTTTTTTATGTTATCTTTATATCTTTTTACATTATATATTTTTTAATTATTATCTTAACCTATATAAAATTCTTATATAATTGTTAAAATTATAATTTTGTGTAATTTCGCTAGTACAGTCTCGTCTATAAAAAAGTTCTGTGTTTATTCTTCGGAAATGATCCAAATTTTGAGTTTAGGCTATAGAATAGTCTGCCAGGGCTATATAAATTTATTATGGATATCTTATAGTAATATTTATTGAGTTTGTTTTTATGAATACTCAGTGGAGTAATACCATCTTTGGTAACTTTTGATAAAATTTTTTAATTTATAAAATGTGTTTTTCACTTGCATATTTAAAATAAAATAGTATTTTGGATGATTTTGTATATTTAGTAGTTGAATTTCTAGAGAAGATATAGTTTTAATGTCTTCTAATTAACGTTTATTCAAAAAATTATCACCCCATTATTTAAAAATATTTCTGTTTTGTAAAAAATAATATATTTCGTGTGTATATTGTAATATTACCTAAACTAACAACGATGAAAACCTTTAACACACAATATGCATTTATGACGTGTGTAGTCTATGAGAATTATTTCACCGTTTTATTTTTCAAGTACCTACAATAGACAGGTATTATGAAATTCTATACTGGCGTTTCTGAGCAACCATGTGTGGTGTTCTTTGAAGTGAAATAATTTTGTAAAAGAACTTCCTTTTATTCGAATGGTCGTAATTTACCTTAGTTTAGTTGGGTTAGGTTATTAGTTAATTCAAATTGTTATACAGATAGAAGAGTGAATTTTTTTCAATAGTTTGTATTTCACTAAAACTGACCTTTAAGCCACCAAATATTTTCGCTCTAGTAGAATATACTGCGTATCTAATAACTTATTATTCTATTCATCAATGGTAAATTTGTGGACAAACACAAAATCTTGATTATGCGTTAATAATTTACATGAATATTAGTTTTAAAGGGGAAGTATGTTCTAATTTTATAATTTTAGTTAGATCGTTTTTAGTTTTTTGCTAATTTCGCATATTTATATAATAAAAATTGATTAATTATGGCTACTATTATTTAAAATTAAAATTGCACTAAAAATATTAAATGAAAACTAAAAAAAAATTAAAAATATTTAACGCAAAAAAACACATGAAATTAAAATATGATAATCGTAGCTAATTATGACCTTATGAGTAGGAGAGTATTCATTGTTTATTTACAATTTTAAAATAGCAAAACCAATGAGAAACACTTTGTGTTTCCCTACACTCATTTTTACTCAGTAGGTCTCAGATTTTTTTAACTCTTAAAATATTGCTTTGAATTTCACACTGTGATAAAAATTCCCAATAACAGTAATTTTAAAATTCACCCAAAATCTTAACATTCTATAACTAATCATAAATAACGTTATTACTTTAATAATATAAAAAGTCATAATTTAAGAGATTTATTATTTCCCTAAAGGTAAAATATAAGAAGGGGAAAAATTAGGATTTTTTTAACACATAATGTAAATGTTGTTATTAATAGGGATCAGGTTTAAAAAGCATTTAAGTAACATTAAAAATCATGAAGTTGATAAATCTCCTGTGGCTGAACATTTATTGACACATTATCACTCTATTAAATCCATAAAACTAATTGAAACGTAAATAATTACAACGAACAAGGGATGCAATAGAAATATTTAAAAATAAAAACAATTTAATTATAGTTGGTATCTTTGCTCACTGAAATGTTAATTATTAAAATGTGTTAACTGGAAAATTGTTATAATATTACTTATTGATAACGACATTAGGTGATAAGAGATATGTAAGGGTTTTTTTTCCAGTGATTGTGTCAGTTTGTGTTTAGCGTTTATAATGGTAACATTGTTCCCAAAAGACGTATCCGCGATTTTTTTTTTGGTAATTTTCTGTGGCTTTTTAAATAAAATATTTGTAATATTTTTAAAATGATTGTTATTGGGAATTTGTATTTTAATTATTCAATGCCAAATTCTATGAGTATTTTTCGTCATAAGTTATAATGATTAGCAGTGTGAATACATAAGCAATATTTTAAGAGTTAACGAAAATCTGAGACCTAACTAAGTATAAAAGAACGTAGGGGAACACAAAGTGTTTCTCATCGGTTATGCTTGATTTTTAAATTGTAAATAAATCATGAATACTCTTCTATTCATAAGGTCAAAATTAGCTATGATTATTATATATCTTACAAACGAACCTATTGTATTTTTATGAATGCTGATTATTGTTAATTAATAATTAAAATATTTTTTTGTAAAAATATTACATTTGAATGATAATTTTTTTTTTTTTTCCAATATTTATTTATTTTATAATATACAAGACACAACATAATCAAACAGAAAAAAAAAACAAATAAATATTGAGTACGCCACAGACGGCAATGAGTACAGAATATAAATACAAAATATCTAAATAATTAAATAAGTACAGCATACATAGAAGTTTAAATTATTAACATACAAAATTAATAATTAAAATACATCGCTACAAATAGATTTTAACTTGGTTAAATGGTCATTAAAGAAATCAAAATTTTTAATTAAATTGCAAAAATGTAGCATTCTATTGACCGGTGAATAATAACTATAATTCTGACGATATGAGTTAACATAAAATAAATTATTAGATCGGAGATGAAAATTAGGAACATTAAAAGGAATTAGACTTAAAATTTCTGGACAATCTACATTATTATTAAGGAGATTATAAATCAAAAAAACATCATTGCATTTTCTCCTGTAAGCAAGGGAAGTTAAACCAAGAGAGATTCCTATTTCATCGATCGACACATTATAATCCCTAGACTTAAAAGAAATGAAGTGTAAAAAACGTCTTTGTATAGATTCTATTCTATTAATTTCANCCAACCCAGCACAGGGGGGTCGCGGCACAGTGGTGACGTGGTATAGATGGATTAAGTATAATGATATCTGACAGTGATTAAAATCACTATCAAAAAAAAACGCTTCGATGCAAATCTTTAGATAGTGTTTAATTTNGGTTAAATGGTCATTAAAGAAATCAAAATTTTTAATTAAATTGCAAAAATGTAGCATTCTATTGACCGGTGAATAATAACTATAATTCTGATGATATGAGTTAACATAAAATAAATTATTAGATCGGAGATGAAAATTAGGAACATTAAAAGGAATTAGACTTAAAATTTCTGGACAATCTACATTATTATTAAGGAGATTATAAATCAAAAAAACATCATTGCATTTTCTCCTGTAAGCAAGGGAAGTTAAACCAAGAGAGATTCCTATTTCATCGATCGACACATTATAATCCCTAGACTTAAAAGAAATGAAGTGTAAAAAACGTCTTTGTATAGATTCTATTCTATTAATTTCACCTATTTTATATGGACACCAAATAATAGATGCATATTCTAAAATTGATCTTACCAAAGAATTTTGTTGTAATGTACCCATAATATGTAATACTTCTCCGCCCTAAAATTTTAGTGCTTTGAGTGAGGAATCAAATTTAAAAACATAATATTTACTTTAGAAATTTGTTATTTACTTTTAATTTTTGCCTTAGTTTACTAATTTATTTATTAAGTACAATAATTAATGTAGCTAAAAAATAAATAGCTTTATATCTTATGATATATTTTAATGTGGCGCTGTTTTAATATTATAATAAAGTTTTGTCCTCCATAAAAATTGTAAAAGACATTACCAAATAACAATAGAACTTCTATTTCGTGTAATATATTTTCTTAGCATAATTACTTTTGATTTTAATTTTAAATGCAATACAATTTTCATTAGAGCTACATCTCTTGGACTTAACAGAAAAGTTTAATGCTATAAGATTTAATTTAGTAATACTTATCATGATATGAAAATGATTCTTCAACAATTTTTTAGAGGTGTTTATCGTCAATAATTCTTGCATTATATCAATGAAAAAAAAGTATTAGATACTTTATGTATGTTAGTATAGTATGGGTATAGTTGGGACAAGTATAGATGATTCTGACAAAGACTAAAATCACTCTCATAAGAAACGCTTCTATGCAAATCTATAGATTGTGTTTAATTAAAAAAAAATAATGAATTATTTCAAAAGAAACAAACTCCTATTTTCTTAATTATATTCTGATTAGCAGATTTTTTATTTACAAGTATAATATATGAATAAATACTTATTATAGTAGTTAAATTTAGTATGAAATTGATATTCAATAATTTAATATTGTAATTTTTACGAGGAAACTATAAAAAATAATAAAGTAGTTGGTATTTTTATGGCAAATGTGTATAAAAATTAAAGTTGAAGCAATATTTTTCAAAAATTACTTATGAATAAATACACAGTATTATAAGAAATTATTATCAGAGACGAGCACATACTTTTTTAAACCTATTTTTTGCCGATTTTAAATTTGCAATTAGATTTTTTCTATCACCTAAGTTATAAATTTAAGTTATTTGTTTGATAATAATCATGTTATTTTAAGAATATGAATTTAATTTATAAAGTGAAGTGTTGATTATTTTAGGTTAAAAGATTTAACGAAATTATTTATAATAATAATAATTATTGTGGACACAAACATAGCAGCCTACTGTTTTTCCATATAATGATAGTGACGAGTATTACGAGTATTATTACTGCAGTTCAGTGGAAGTTTAGAATAAGTGTGGACCCTTATCCTTACCCCAAGTAGTTGGAATAAGGCGAGGAAAAAAAATAATAAGATTTATATAGTAACATGTTACCAAAATATTTGGAATATAATAGATTGGTTTAAAAACAAAGTAAAATTATTTAATTTTGTATTTGAAACCTATTATCATATAAATTTAAAATATAAAATAAAGATTTTTTTTTTACAAAAATCTTACGTTTATCTTTAACTTTGATTGTTATTTTGTTAAGTTTTCAATTCAAAAAGATTTTTATTTAAATACAATACTTTATTACATTAAGAAGTTTGTTTAGTCTATTTATTAATGATAATAACTCATTATTTCCTGATAAAGACAATAAAAAAACATGTTATTTTTAAAGTTTTTATGTTAAAATTAAAATTTATTATTGTGTTGTCGGTGTGAAATCATTTAATTTTAATGACGATATACATTTAACCAAAAATATAATAATAAAAAAAAAATTAAAAAGAAAAACTGAAATAATAGTATTATGCAATAAGCATTTTAATTCATATTTATTTATTACTGATGGTAAAAAAAAAATATTTTTATGTTAAATTATTTGTTTATATTAACAATTTTATATAATATAAAAAATATATTATAATCTTCTTTTTGAAAATCCAATATACCCAAAACTTTTAAATTACCCTTATAAAAAATGTATATAAATCTTTATTTTATGTTCCTTATTAATTTAGGTAAAACATTTATAAATAAAAAATAGACTTTGAAGGCAATTAAATGTAACTCGATCGATAATATTTGTACTTGGATTAATCTTTTTTTTAATTAAATATGTAATAAAAAATTACTTTTTGATAAATCACAATAAAAGTATTTCAATAATAATTATTTTATATTGATATAAACTAAAGAAAACAACGTTATATGTAATATAAATCTATATATTAATTTAATGAAATATTTGTTGCCTCATAAATATCTTAGAATCATAATAATGCATAATTTAATAATTTTTTCAATAAAAACTTAGTTGTCATGACAAAGAATTTATGATACAATCAAATATAAGTTGTGTTAATAACATAATTGTTACCTATAAATAGTATGATAATAAGTGACATACTAAAAATGATCATTTTTATAAACTAAATTAATGTAATGTTTATTAATTCAGTAAAGTTTATATAAAAACAATAAATTTGTTTATTAAATTAATAATTTTTTTTTCGTTATTATAAAATGGTTTTGTCAGTCTTTGAGAAATAAAGTGTATTCAAGTTTATTGTTATTTTTATTTTGTAAATAAATTTATATTATCATTGAATCAAAAGCCGATTTTCATAATAACTGATTNGGTCGTAAATAAATTTATATTATCATTGAATCAAAAGCCGATTTTCATAATAACTGATTAGTTATACATATATAATAATACGTAATTAAATAGAAGACCAAAAATTTTGTGTTATTATTTAGTTAGATTAATAATTAGTTATATGTAAGAAATTCTGTTTATGTAACAAGGATTTGAATTGGCTACACGATTTCGACTAAAATAGCAAGATTTTTTTATTAACACAAATATTAATAACATTTTTGTTAATCATTTTACTTACCTAAAATAGTATATTAGTTTTTAGCTCCGATTTTTGTAATTGGTAAATTTTGACATTTTAAAAATTTTAGCTTTGATGCGAAGCTTAGATAGAAGGTATTAATTTTACTATGATGTTTTTTTTTTCGGGACTGTTACCACTTTTTCTCAGTACTCACGGAACCGATTTATTTTAACGATACATCAAAAGATCATAAATCGTATCTAGTCGAAGATATTATCCTCAAAAATTGAAAAAATATCCCTCGTTCCCCGTAAATGGGGTAAATCTCCAAAAAAATTACAATTTTAAAAATCTCTAATTTTCGACATTTTTTCAATTTTTTTTACTTAAAACTACCATAACTTTTTTAAAAATGATCAAATAAATATAAATATTTTTTTATAGATTATTGAGGTATTTTATTATCATTTTATATATTTTTTTTATAAATTTGACCCTTTACCAGCCCATAAGAGGGGATTCAAAATGACAACTTCTTCACAAAAAATTAACTTTCCAACATTTCTTTTGAAATTGTTTTAAAAATTCTGACATTTTTATATATGTCTTAAATTAAAGCTTATGTAATATATTTAATATGAAAGAAAAATTTCTATTTTTATTTTGTTTTCATGGTGAAAACGGACATTAAAGTTAATGAAAAATACGATTTTTGTAAAAAATTACAATACTAAATTATTAAATATCAATTTCATACTATATTTAATTGCTATAATAAATATTTATTCATATATTACACTTATAAATCATAAAACTTGTAATCAGGATATAAATAAGGAAATAGGAAATCATTTTGCTTTTGAAATAACACATTAATTTTTTAAAATTAAACACTTTCTACAAATTTGTATCGAAGCGTTTCTTATGATAGTGATTTTAATCACTATCATACCCAACTACGCCATTCCCCCCATGTGCCGCAACTCCACTATGCTGGGTTTTTTTAAAAATAATGTTAAAAAAATCCTATAATTGTTTTACTATAAGAAATTAGTCGTTAAAGTAAGGAAAATCGTAATTTTTATTTATTAATTTTATAAATCGGTTGTGATTATAGAAAATTATTAATTTTTCTACAGTTATGAAGAAATATATAATTATTTTAAGTTTAATTTTTACAGCATGGCGTTTTTTCTACAGTTCACAAGTACTATGAAGTCGAGGAATGGGAAGATTTTGCTAAAAAACATGTCGAAATTTTACCACATGTGGCTGTAAGTTGTGGTATAAGCGATGCCGATTTTGAAAAACTGGAAAAAATTTTGGCTGCCGTTCCAGATCTAACATTTATTTGTCTTGATGTAGCTAATGGTTACACTCAACAGTTTGTTGACATAGTACGAAAAACGCGAAATGCATATCCAAAACACACGATTATTGTGAGTAAAATAGCTCGTAATAATTAAAAAATTGGTTACAATTTAAAAAACCTACAAAATTTTAAGGCTGGAAATGTGGTTACTGGTGAAATGGTTGAAGAACTCATTTTGTCTGGAGCTGATATCATTAAAGTTGGTATTGGTCCAGGATCTGTATGTACCACTCGTGTTAAGACTGGAGTAGGATATCCTCAATTAAGTGCTGTAATTGAATGTGCAGATGCTGCTCATGGCTTACAAGGCCATATTATTTCTGTATGTCTTCAATTTTTAATTTTAAGTGTTAAAACATCAAGTATTTTTACTTTTGTATAGGATGGTGGATGTGTTTGTCCTGGCGATGTCGCTAAAGCATTTGGTGCTGGTGCTGATTTTGTAATGCTTGGTGGAATGTTAGCTGGACATGATGAAAGTGGGGGGGAATTAACTATAAAACCTGATGGTACCAAGAGCAAATTATTTTATGGTATGAGTTCTATGACAGCAATGAAAAAACATGCTGGTGGTAAAGCTGAATATAGGTAATTATTCAAAAATCTGAATGTAAAATTAAATTTAAGGATTTTTTGTAATGCTTTTAGAGCGGCCGAAGGTAAAGCTGTAGAAGTACCATACAGAGGTGAAGTCAATAACACTATTCTAGATATACTTGGAGGTCTTCGATCAGCATGTACTTACACTGGAGCACATAAATTAAAAGAACTACCAAGAAGAGCTACTTTTATTAGGTGTACCCAACAAGTTAATTCTGTTTATGCTAATATTCCATCAAAAGAATAAAATAATTTCATTAATTACAAAAGAAATTTATACATTTTCAAAGCTGAAAAATTAAAAGACTGCTGTGGTAGAATTACATAATGTCCATAAATAGTATGTAGTTATTTTTAATACGTATTTGAATTTTTAGAAAATTATCTCAATTTTTTATTGTAATTTAACGTAAAGTTGGTGCTTGAAATATAAAGTATTTACTGTTAATTTATTTAGAATAATTTTTTTAGCTCACTAATTTTACACATTTTATTATTTAAAATTGATGTTCAATTTATACTAATTGGTCTAAATTTTCCTAATTAAATATTTAATTTTAATTTTAATCAAAATATCTTAGTATAAACCCACTTGGATTACAGCTTTGAATGCAAATATATGTACTGTCCTTAATTATTATTGCAATAATATATAACAAATATTGGATTTTAAATATTTAATGAACTACCCAGTAATGTATCTTTAAAGTAACTTAGAATATATACTATTTTAGTACGAGTAAATTTTTACCTTGATTCTGCTAATTCATTATAATATGATTAAATTAAATTAAATTAAATTAATGTGATGAATGGAGTTGACCATATTCATCATCATCTATCTAATATGCCTTGTCCTTGTTGAAGTCTCACCTCTCCGTTTGATGTCAAATTGTTTAGTGAAACAAAAGACGCATAGTTCATGAGTTCCAGGATATGTTTAAAATATTATTTCTTTGGTTGTCCGCTTGAAATAAATTTTTTTTACAAAATTCATATTTCTAAGTTAAATACAGGATTTTTTATAACTAATTGTATATTGCTTGTTTTGTTGTACTCCATCATACATAAAATAATTACTTAACACTTGATGTGCTGAAGCCAATAGTTTTATATTGATATAAAAACCCCTCATTTTTTATTTAATCAACTATGGCTTAATAGTATACAATTCAACACAGGAAAAAGACTTGAAAATAATACTCTATCCACAACCAAGGTATCAAATTTGCATTAGGTGCCTTTTGGTCAAATACTGTTAACAGCATCCTATTCTTAACCTCTCTTCAGAGGTTAGAAAAGTAAATACTTAAATTTGAAAAAAACAAATGATTAAACATAAACAACTCTTTGCAAATATATTTCAAAACACAATACAAAAAGTGTATAAGAAAATTCAACCTACCATAATTAAAAATTAGGTACCAATTAAATCTTAACGAAGACTTAATCATATAAATAACCATTATTCCCATATAAACTTCAACCTACTAGAGTATAACAAAAACATCACCCCAAAGCATAAATGTGGACTACATGTGACTATATTGTCATTATTTCTTCCTTTAAATTTAAATTAAAAAACGTACATTTACAACGGAAGTACATTTCTTTATAAAGTATCACTCTACACTAATTTAATAATTAAAGATAGTATTGTAACTTAAGTGACTAATTAATGACTTTCTCAACGCTCTCTGCTTACTCAAAGGCAACAACGACACCAATGAACTCATTTAAAACATCCTATCAATTATCTCTATGAAAAATATTGAATTTATGTGGTCTCGTTGTTGGCCTTTTATCTCTACGTGTGATAAAAAGCCAACAAAGCTGTTAGGCATGTCATACTCTATCTCATTCAGCCTTAATATTAGAAACCATTTATTATGAACTAATAAAGAAATCGACCACAAAATACAATAAACATGGCAAATTAAATGGGATCAAACTTCAAATAAATTAAGACATATTAAAAGAAATAATTAGTTAACTTCAACAATAAATACTGCACTAAGAGATATATACTAATTATCTTCACTAAATCAAGAACTGGGCATTCTTCCCTTACAAACTCTTATCTTATGAATCACAATCAGAAACTGCTGAGAACACTTATCAATCAAATACATCGTAATGGATTCAACTCGGAACAATCCATTTTAGATCATCTAACCAACATAGAAGAAGCACTATGAAAAGAAAATACCACTAATATAATTATTCTTTTCAAATTAATTAAATATGTTCATAAATTATAATGAAAAAATTGATAAATAATCAATAATTGTAATATGTGCTAAAAATCTGTACCTTGTAACTGAAGCTTTCAAAGTAAAGTAAAAAAAGCAAAAATTGCTTAAATTTCTTCAGCAGACAAATTATTTGACGAATCCTTTTAAATATAAATCATCAAAAAACTTATAAATTTCTAAATTCAATAATCGTTGAAAAGTTATTGCAAAATTTATCATGCTAAAAATATATAGAGAAGCTAAGTCCATCCAATTACTCCAATTTTCGATATGTAACACATCTGTAAACAAAAATTGTTTAAATATCTCGTATTTAATTTCCTAATCAACAAAATATTTTCATAGTATAATATATACAGTATAATTATATATATTATATTATCAATAAGTATATGTCACAAATAATACAAAATATAAAACTGTAAACAAATGAGTAAGAAGTCACCCATTAATGATACTTAAATTTAAGAAAATTTAATAACTATTAATAAGACAACACCATTTACTCTTTAGTCAACGCCTAGGATTGTCTCATATTACACTACTATAGTTTATTAATAAAAATATTTTGATGATTTTGTAATTTGGTATGAAACCGTTTGTAAAATTGGTCATCTTCTTCAGCTTCAATTTATATGGAGATCTTTATATAAGTTATAGTTTAATATGTAAGGTGGGCATTGGTAATTTTTTTAGAGCAATGATCTAGAATTGTTCAATATTGTTAATATTAGATTTCTTTACCATATCCTATAATTGGAAACAATACTTCTAAACTGGTTTAACGCGTAATTTATAAATTAAGATTTTGGTTTTTAAGTTAATATGTTGATTGCTTATTAAGATCGGCTGTAGTAAACGAAGGCTTAAGTTAAAGAAAGTGTTTTTTTTACGAATATGGGTGCTCCAGGATAATCGTTCGTCAAGGGTTAAACCTAAATATTTCACTTTATCGGAGATAGGAATGGGAATATTTTTTAGAACGTCCTTGGGACAGATTGAGCGTTGTAATATAAAAGTTGTGTGAACCGATTTGTATTAAGTATAATACAACATTTATTATAACATTCAGACATAAGATTAAGACGGTCTTGCAAGTATGCAAAGGGAATAAATGGGTTTCATGTATTGAAATAATGACTTTATCATCTGCATAGTCAGCTACCTCTGTGTGCAATGTAGCGAAATGATCTGATGAAAATGTATTAATAGAATAAGGGATGAAATGCCACCTTAGAAAACTCCCACATTAATGTCCTCAATTTTTGAGATTGCTGAGCTAAACAATACTTGGAAATTAAACAATTTAATTTGCTCTTATAATTGAATACATAAGTTTAAAAAAAGATTTTTTACCAGTTTTTTTTTATAATCTTTTTTAAAATGGTTATTTTGAATTTATTTTCAACATTTTTGGTATTTCAGAAAAAAAAATTATTCATATAAATTCATTTTTCTTATAATTTGTGATATTATGGTCCTAAACTCTGATAAAAAGAGAAACAAAAAATATTCAGTGGTTTGAAGTTTATAGAATTTGACAGAACATGTCAACAATTTTTTTATAACTGTTTATATTGTGATAAGTAAAAATTTCACAAATATAAATGACAAATATTTTGAATGATTTATTATAAATAATTTTAAATATGAAACCAGATTACAAAATTGTCAGTTACAAATACATGATCAAATACTTCATATAAGTAAAATAACTTAAAATTCTCATCACAAAAAAAACAAAATATATATATATATGTTAATCATCTATAAATTCTAAAATTTTAAATTATTTTCAAAATAATACTAAACATTTGTGCACTCTTAAGAAATAATAATTTTTTACATATTTTAATACACATTTGTATAAATGTAGAATATTATAATTGAATATTTTTAAAGTTACATTTTATTATGCTTACTTAATATAAGTAAATCAATAAAAAAAGATTTGACTTTTTGTTTCTGGTCATTAATTTTTCTACTTAAAAAACATGTAATCTTTAACTTATGCACTGTAATCAACATGAATAACTTGAATACAATAATAATATTATTATTTAAAGTTCTTTAAGGTTATTCTAACGATAAAAGTATGTGCCCGGACGTTTTTGTCATAATATTTTTCAAGTTAATGTGGTTGTACGCAAATAAAAAGTTTACTGGGGAATAGATTCAAGAATTTTTTTCCAAAAAAGTTATTTCAATTTCTTATTCTTTAAAATTAATCTAGCGTAAGAAGAAGAAACGATTAAATAATAGCGTTCTTTTTTGAGGAATTTAAGTAGGAAAGTGAGGATTGAGGTACTTTGTTTGAAATACAAGTATTTAATTTGAGATATCGTCTTTTGCAGTGCTGTTATTCCTCAAAACTAGTCAACCACGAATAAATGTTACAGTTAAAAAAATGTATTTCACAGTGACGCAATCTGAGCGGTGTTAGGGGCGTTATAACTCATTAAATGATTAGTGATGTTTGGATATTTTATACGCGATAACATTTATTTTGTTTATTCGAATTTTTTCAAATAGCTATGCAGAGTAAACAATTTTTGATGAGCAAATAACATGTAATAACCCCTTGAAATTGTTTAATAGTTGCGCCACTTGTTGTACACATTTACATTATTTATAGCGTTGTTCTATAAGATTTTGTAAATAAATTTCAATTTTGTGTGATATGCTATTCAAATCATAGTAAAATACACTGTTTATTGAAAACAATTTAATTCAACACTTATCTCTAGTTTTGTTACTACGATTGGAAATAAATATTATCCCTGTGTGAGAATTTTATTTTACTTTTAAAAAATATGATTGAGTTTATTCTTATTAATATTGTACATTTTAATAATGAAATTAAAATTGGAAGCAATGACATTTTTCTACCAAATGTTACACGTCTAATTTTAGAAAATAATACATTTTTCTTACAATAAACTTAAGTTTTATTAACGGCCTTATTACTTTTAATTATTTACATAATTTTTCGCATAACGATAATCACCTAATATAGTACTATACAATAAAAATACTATTTTTCCTTGGAAAAATCAATAAAATAAACAGGTTTATAACTCGATAATAAAACTATCTTCTTATTAATGACAATGCACATTTCAAATAAAATCTATTTTATAAAAAGGTTAATACACATCTGAGTAATAATATTTTTTTACAATAATGAATACTATTATATTAAAATAATAATAGTATTTAAAATAATTGGCATGATTACTATTATAAAACCGTAATTTTACTTAATTATAAACTACTGTAATTATCAATATTTAACACAATGATTCGTTAAAGAAAATGTTTATTAATTATATTATATTTTACATATACTATTTTTGCAATTTTATGCGTTTTCTTAAACTACTTGATACCCGATACTCCGAACTGTATGAACGACCGTGTCGTCTTCATCAATACAAAAAAAAATGTTAAAAATAGTATAGAATATAATAAAAAAAACCGTTTCTAGATAACATCAAACATTACAGATCCCAAAGCCTAAAAAAATTTGAAGCCTTGGGTGTTATGGAATAATAAGTCAATGACAGTTAGGGTTCTAATAAAACTTATTTGTTCTAATATGAAAAAAAGAATGCGGAAAAATGGAAGGCTTTTGATATGTGCATTAAACAAAATTATTTATACTTGTGATATGAACAAAAATCTTACAAATATTTGTATTCTATTATTGAAAACCAATGACTAAAATTAACCGAAATGTACATTTAAATTCAGTAGTATACTTCTACATATATATACTTTGTTTTGACCGCAGATGATTTAAATTTGACAAAATACAATATTATTACCAAGTCTTACTTCTTAACAAATAACGAAATCAATTAATAAATTATTTATAATGAAATTATGTATAAAAAAAATGTAATATACATGTATACCCTTTAAGATAATTATGAGCTCACGTAGTGGAGCAATTTTGCATTTAACATTAGCACAAACAATTTTCAAGTAATATGTAATAATGTAAAATTATGGGATAATTATTGATTTTGGTTAATAGATTGGAATTGTTAGTTACAACTTTTTGAACGATTACAAGAGGAATGAACTTTTTTCAAATTGGGAAACAGTAATTTATTGCCAATACAAATTTAGTTATCAGTTTTCAGAATTATTGACAGATGCTTTTGGAGCAATACAATTTTTAAAAATATAAATAATAAAAATTGCCTACAAACTTTTTTAAGTAACTTTTGATATTAATAGCTAGAGGTTCGATACACGTATTACCAATATTTATTGTTAATTTCTTTAAATATTTATGTTTGGACTTTTCTATATATTTAACAATAATATACAATAATTTATATATTTAATTTTGAAGTATAAAAGCATGATTTAGTTAAATATAAATCATTTTTCAACAATTAGCTTTCAAGTTAATAGAATTGTTACGTCTATTGTAGTTATTTAATTGTCGAGGTATAATATTAAAAATAAATCTAAAAAAAAAAGAAATAAAATCTTTGTACCGTTTACTAAACGGTTTTAATTAAAATCTTGAAATTTGTAGCAAAAGTGGTGTACTTATAAATTACTTAATTTTATATTTTGTTGATAGTTAATTTACTTTCTATAGTTAAATTGTTAAAAACACTACTCTTACGACACAAAAAAACGTCAAAATCAGCCTGATGCTCTATTTAAGACGTTGATTTGCGCGTTACTACTTCCTAACAATACTACATGGTCCCCGATTCTGCTGATGGCAAATCATTACAAAAAAAAAATCAAATATTTGTATCAAACTCGTCCTAATGACAATTCATTGTGAAAACGTCAAGAACTATTCCAAACGTAATCGCAATAATAATGACAGTAATGGTCCCTTTAAACCATCATCATTATTGTCAAAATAATGACTGAAAAGTAAAAACAATAACAATAAAAATTGAATACAAATACATTTTGACTTTTAAAAAACAATACAAAACCAAACGTGGAATAATAATAATATCATTTAAAATATATATTATTTAGACTTAATAGTAATACTAGTATTTAACACAAATAGATAAATAATTTATTTTAAAAAATGTGTTAAAACAATGTAATTATAGCGATAAAAGTGGCTGATATTAAAATCTAACTTCTTAAATAATCAACGGTACAATGGAAAATGGATTTGGGATAGTTAACGTAATTTGGGTACAAAAAGTTCTCTACATGATCACAACCTAATCTGCTATCGATTCCAGTGAAAACCGTTTCATAATTATATCAAGTAAGATTCAACACATCTACATATCTAGAAAATTAGATCTCCTGTCACTGCAGTTGTGACTTTGATTTAAATTTATACATGATTGTCAAGGTAAAATGTTAAAAATATTACCTAAGTCAACATTATTCCTCGTCACTCGTTAATAACGAATTGAGTTTGTACCATTTAAATATACTTTTGTATCACATTTAGTCATTTTAATTACATAGACTTAATTCCAGTTAAAATAGCGCTAAATAATGTCGATAGTCTATAGAAATGTTGATATGTTTTTAACCACTTAAAAATAATCGCTATTTGTGTTCAAAAATTAGTATAGAGTTTTTTCAATCGGATACAAACATTTACATATCTGTACAATAATTATAATGTTATTATTGTTTATCTTTTTAATATAATTTACATGTATTTTATAATTGGTTATAAGGACGTATAGATAAAAACTATACTAGCGTTTCTTCATATAGAGCACATAATTGTAGAAAATGGTTTTAACATGTAATAAATTATGTACGATAGAGAAAAATACAAACAACTTAATAGTTAGTTTCATTGTGAAAAAATGTATTCCTCGTGGGGCTATCTTTCAGGTAAGGTGACTACAACACGTGTAAGTTTTCACACGATTTGGATTTAGAATCCCTTGCCCATACTTTGCTTAGAAGTCCTTTCACCCTGAGGCTGGTAGACGTTCGGGAACCTCGATACTTTTTGAACGTAGGGCCACAGTTGGTTAGTGGCGATTTGGATCTCTTTCGCATGGACACGAATTTGTGAGTACTTAAGTCTGGTGGCTGGTCTAATTTTAGGCGAATCTGTGTGAGTATGCCAACCAAAAGCTCGTCTACATTGTAGTTGATGATCACGGATGTTTCGATAAATTTACAATCATACCGGGTGGCCATTTGCTTGCCAACTAGAAGACCATTAAATCAAACCATAAATTAATTATTATTTCACAGTATTTTATCTATTAATAATAAGTTTACAATTTTTTTTTAATCATTTTAAATGATCTATATATATAAATTCCTTTTGATAATTCTTGAAGTTGTACTAAGTAAAAGAATAATGAGCATTGGCAGAGGGTTAAAGCGGACAGATTGAATAGTCAACATTTTGGATATTATATTAAACAGGCACATATTCAGAGAAGGGGGTTATTATATATGTAAATCTATATATATATATATAGATTTTGAAAAACAATTGAATTATTCAATGATTGTATAATAATTGAATGTGATGTTTTATTATTAATGATAAATAATAATTAATTAGTGATAAATGTATCAAAAGTTATTAGCGCCGTAAAAATATATACATAAAATATACTTTAAAATATCGAGTGGAGTGGTAAAAAACTCCCCCTCCGTACGGGCCTAACAGTTAATCCATTTTTATAGTATATTTTTCTATAATTATACCGTAATCTTGTAGATATATTATTATTATAAAATATTACTATTATTATATGTATTACACAGAATTAATTACCTCCCGATGATACAACGTTCGGTCTTACAATGTCATTTTTGTTACCAACCAATATCACAGCTTTATTTCTGACCAAATCAGCTTTCCATAGAGTTTGAAGCCATTCTTCAGCTTGTTTGAAACTATCCCAATCATTTCTGGAGTAAACAACGCAATAGGCATGAGGCGTTTCTTCAAATACATCGTTGCAATCAGTAGGCTAGAAATTAAAGAAAATGTATTTAATGAAACAAATATTTTTTTAGTTTTATTTTTTTATTCACTATTTATTCGTAAAATACACTTAGAGATGTAACTAGAATTAATTCAAGGAGGGTTTATTTAATTAAATTTAACAGTCAGATTTTAAAATGCAGGGTGATTTACTTATCATCTTAATTACTTAATTAATCGAAACATATGAGTAATAATGATAATTGTTCATTTATTTAGCTCAATGGTTCTCTTAATTTATCATTCTTATTTTTTATAAAATAATTATTATTTATTTTAGAAAATGATTTAATTGAAAATGACTGGTCATTAACAACTTTTGGACCACTATTTCAGAAATTATAAAAAATATTCAATAATGTTTGAAGGTATTTTTATAACTAGACATTTCCCGGTCGTAATCTTTCTCTTGCTTAGGTACAAACATGTCAATAACTTTCGAATTATTGAAATAAAAGAAACCAATAAAAAATGAATTATAATTTTTTTAAATTTTTCTATTAATTAAGTAGTTCTTATATTCTGTATACTACGTAGAAACTAAAAAAATGAATTTCATATTCATAAAAGCATAATTCTCTTAATTCCTAAAAACATTAATCTTTTATCAACAAATGTTTTATTCGTAAAATGTACTAACCATAGGAGTTGAGATATTACTTAGTAAATTTTTTTTATAATTTTAGTTAAGTCAATGCTTACCTTAAATAACTTTTAACGAATCTTTTTTCTTATTTTAATTTTTTTTTAAATTTATTATTTAGATATAACTAAGAATTTATTTGATGACTTTTTAAATTTTGGTGATGATAATTTATTTAAAATTAAAGTACAAGTGCTGAAAGGCACATTAGGGATATTGAAAATCCTATTCAATTTTAAAATGACAATGAATTTTTGAAAAATTTTGATTGCTAAATATGTTGTTTTAAATAAATTAATGTCTAAGAATGTTAATAATAAACCAAGTATTAATAATTATCGAGGTTTGTCAATCAGTCATATCATTAAAATGTTAACATAATTAAGATTTTATGCAACGGAATGTTATCAAGTAAGTAAAATGAATACAAAAAAGATAGTACAGTAGAATCAAGGTACGAAGGATAGTTAGGATAAGTATAGATGATAATCTGACTGCGATTAAAATCATTATCATAAAAATGATTCGATACAATAATGCAAGTTTTTAACTTTAAGAAATTAGTGGATTATACCAAAAGCAACATCAATATCTTCTAATTATATATTTAGTAGTTCATTGATTTGTGATTATTATATATGAACAAATTATTTTTATTAAATTTAGTATGAAATTAATATTCAAACATTGAATATTGCAATTTTTACGGAGAAATAATAAAAAATTATAATTATTATATTGAGCTTTATATCAGTTGTAGGAGAGATGAAAATGGATTGTTTGGTGGGGAGAATTCCTTTAATTTTATTAATGGTCTATTCTCATATGAGATTTAAAATTTAGGAATTTAAGATGACAAATTAAAAATTACTTTTTGACAAGTTTGTATTTTAGTTCAATTATTAGTATTTTAAGTTGACGTCATTATTCCTTTTATAACATTTTTCAAAATAAAACATAAGAAATTTTATGCAAACAATATGTTATTTTTCATTTTAAACGGTAGTTTTTATGTAGGAGGAAAATCTACAAAACTATATTGTGTTCAAAATTCCCAACTATTATTATTGTTATCTTTAATCCTATACCAATGTCATTAAATATATATATAAAAAATAATAATAGAACATATAAAATAATGAGTAAACATAAATGGTCAATAGGGTCAAATATTTTAAAAGGTTATTATTACTATCATTATAATTTTATAAAACCATTGAAATTTTGATTTAAAATTTTAATATAATTATCAATTAAGCCCGAGAATTTTCATATAGGGTTAAACTCTACATTGTATATTAACTTTATAATCCTAATTGGTAAAGTTTTATTTTATTTTACTGTAAAAACCTTTTCGGCGTTCACAGTTTTGTATTTTAAAAATAAAAACAAATTAATTAATTAAGACCAATTGCCATTTAGTTAAATGCTTTATGAAGGTTATATTTACGGCGTTGTGAGCTGATATATTTATCTGATTACCGTTTATTTACTTATCATAAAGGGAACCTTTTGTGTTTTTAATCGGATTTATCTAAAACTCGTATTGTAATTATGATGCTGTAGTTGTCCTAATTCTTAACATTACTCCTAAAAGCGATTGGATGTCAACGCCAATAAAAATTGCACAACATGTTACGACGACAGGTTATTACTCAGGACCGTATCAAACGAGGAAGAAAAAACATTTTGTAAAAATCAAATTAAAAACAACCAAAGTAGAGTAGGTACAGTAATTCATTGTCGTCGAGAATATCTGGTCGTGCGTGGAATTCAATTAGCAACATTGATTGTCAGTACAACTGTTGTTTTGGAGTTTTGTACCTAAATGCAAATAGAAATAAATACTAAGAGAGCTTGGAAGTGACATGTATCGAATACTCTTTTTACAAATAAAATTGTTTTAGTATATCATAATAATTTTAGGTGATAAATTTAGGAGGAATTAAATACCAATTGCTTTATTATGTTAAAAAAATAAGCTTTTTTTGGAAGTTTTTACATTTAAACTAATAACATATCCTTTTTTATACTATATTTAAATATTAATTGTCTTATTTGATTCATAAAATAATTTTTTGTCTTTATTTTGCCATCTCTATTTTATATCTATGCTTGCGACTAGTTATGATGAACCAACAAAGCACTCGAATCTAAAAAAGTATTTCTAATAACACATTTATTTTGTAAGTAGTTGAGTGGATTGGTATAGACGAATCACTTGTTGTATAAAAACTATACAATAATATTATTTAGTTGTATTTTACATTTCATAAAAAATAATACGAAGAATAAGAAAATATGACTAAATATTCTTATTATGTTTGTTTTATTAATGTTGATTACTTAATTGATGTATATATCAAGTATTTTTTTATGTTTAAATGTATATAGTTTTTAATTTTTTAAATGATAATAAATCCGGAATCTAATAATAACTGATGGCTAACATTATTATCATTAAACTATTTTCTAATTACTATAAAAGAATTTTATGCATTTTTTTTTTTATTAAATTTTAAAAATTTCCTTTGGTCAACAAAATTTTTTTGACTGTAGGAAATTTAGTTACAAAAAAAAAAAAAAAAATACATCATAGTAAAATTAATACCTTCTCAGCTTCGCATCAAAGCTTAAATTTTTAAATATGTCAAAATTTACCAATTTAAAAAATCGTAATTTTATTGAGAATTTCCTATATTTATAGTAAAGTGGAAAATTTGTTCAAATTTTGACGATGATAAGTTCACCCAAATACAATTTGTGAACTTTTGACGTATCGATGTGCAAAATCAGTTCAGTATGTTCTGTATATTTGTTTCTACAGATACAAAAAAAAAAAACACATCATAGTAATATTAATACCTTCTAAGCTTTGTATCAAATCTAAAAGAGAATAATTGATCCTTATAATTACATATTGTGCTATTAACTGATCAATTAGTAAAAATATACTCTGTAAAGTCGAAAATGAAAATTCTATATGATCCTACATTTTTACGAAAATTTGTCATTGCTTAGTATAAAAAAACCCAGCACAGTGGTGGTGTGGTATAGTTGGGTCAAGTATAATGATATCTGACAGTGATTAAAATCATTATCATAAAAAACGCTTCGATGCAAATCTTTAGATAGTGTTTAGTTTTAAAAAATTGGTTGATTATTCCAAAAGATACATGATCTGCTATTTCTTTATTTATATCCTGATTAAGATAAAGTATGTCGACTAAAAGAGGAATATAAATAATATTTTTTATAAAAATTGTATTGATGTAAAATGTAAAAAATAAAATCGAATATTTTCACACAAAAATAGCATTCGGTAGTCATTTTCACCGTGAAGACAAAATAAAGTCCGAATTTTTTTTTTTCACAATAAAGTATATTTTATTAGTTTTAATTTAAGATATATATAAAAGTGTCAGTCTTTCCGGAACACTTTCAAAAGTTAAGTTGAAAAAATTAATTTTTTGTGAAAAAGTTGTCATTTTAAATCCCCCCTGTGGGCAGGTAAAGAGTCAGATTTATAAAAAAATATACCAAATGATAGGTAAAAACATTATGCATCTATATAAAAAAAATGATATTGATATTTCCATTTTTAAAAAAGTTATGGGGCAGTTTTTAATAAAAAAAATTGAAAAAATTTCGAAAATTAGCGATTTTTAAATTTGTAATTTTTTTGGAGGTTTCCCCCATNATGATATTGATATTTCCATTTTTAAAAAAGTTATGGGGCAGTTTTTAATAAAAAAAATTTCGAAAATTAGCGATTTTTAAATTTGTAATTTTTTTGGAGGTTTCCCCCATTTACGGGGAACGAGAGAAATTTTTTCAATTTTTGAGGGTAATGTCTTCGACTAGATACGATTTGTGATCTTTTGGCGTATCATTGAATGAAATGGGTTCAGTGAAAGCTGAGAAAAAGTGGTAACAGACAAAAAAAAAAAAAAAACATCTTATTAAAACCAATACCTTCTCAGCTTCGCATCGTAGCTAAAATTATTATCAGATAGGTAAGTATGGCAAATATGAATTTCGTATAAAATCATACATTATTTATCGGGTAAATTTTATTGGTAACTTTCCATGAATGTTAAATGGAAACCTATTATAATTAACTAGTTTTATAATACTACTTAAAAAGTGAAGAATAGGGTAGTATCAACTAAATGTTATTATTACCACGATGCGATAATAAAATTTTTTTTCTCTATTTAGTGACCCTTTCACCAATAACTAAAATTATATTTTAAAAACTCGTATTGTCGAGTCAAATTTTTATTTTGATAATTTAACATCTAAAATTAAACACATAATAATAGGTTCCCGTTTATCTTTCGAAAATTACTCTTAAATATACCCTTAGAAATAATTTCTTTTGATCATTAACTTGATTTATACCATAGTTAATGAAATAAATAACTGACAGTTTTATCTAATATTTGTAAATGTGTTGTTGTGTCTATCTTTACTATTTTTACTATAAGTTGCATTAAAAATAATACAAAGTACAATTAGGTAATAGGTAATAGGTAATTAGTAATAGGTCATAGTTTTTTAAAGGTCATAGGTCAAGTTTATAGAATAAATGTCTAAGCTCAAAGTTCATAGGTCATAGGTCAAAGGTTAAAAGTCAAAGTTCATAGGTCATTAATTTTAGTCAGTATATTCTTTACTAAAATTGACATTTATTATAAATTAATAATTACGCAAGTTTTAAAAAAGTACTAACATTTTATAGATACTATAAAATATATACGGAAATATGAGAAAATTACGATGGTGTTAACTCTCTTAAATAAAATTTAAGTAATTTTACTCATTTGATTTTTTAATAAAAAAGAATTCTACTAAAAAATAATTATTAAAAAAAGGTTTAACAATTTAAAAAAGAATATTCAACTAGCCAAAATTAATTGTTTACCCTGCCCATATTTTTAGCTTTGGGAAAAGCCTGAGAATACTCTGATAGTTTGTAATAATTAAGACATACTTAGGAAACACAATTTTATGTTATTGATTCTTTTGATTATTATTAACGATGTAATTTATTTCCTATGGTCAAAAAAATTTTCATTTTACTAATAACACTTTATATTAAATAAAATAAGTATAGAATTTATATGTTTCTGTTGTCTTATTGATTACTTTTTTGTCAAATAAGATTACTGTTGGTAATGATGTATAAAAGATAAAATGATAACTAAGGTGTTGTTAAACTCAGTGTATGTTTTTTATATTTTTAAAATCAAAATTTATCATTTTTTATAGATATAACTAAATTTTAAGACTATGGGCATTATATCCCATACCCATAAACGAAATTACCAACTCATATGTCTAATACTGCCCAAAATTAATTTTTACTAAAAATTAAAGTTCATCCAATTCTTTAATATTTGTCAAGAATGGAATGAAGACATTGGATAATGTAAGATTATGTATAATAAGATAATGGACAAGTTTATCTTTCTTTTAAGATACAAGCCAATATTTAATTCTTATTAAAATAAGTTTTATTATGAATTTTCCTTAGATGAGCGCTGTTCGCCCACTCACCCTAATGATTAAGTATTTTGCATAATGCTTATAGATCTTTTTTAATTTAATTTTTGTTAGAATCTATGGGTATTAAAGTCAAAGTTATTTCATATCGTAATTTATCTTAAATTTGATTAAGTAGGTGTTTTTACAAAAACTTCATGAATAATTTTCTTTACCTTGTCGGATACACGTCGCAAAGTTCTCTGTTAAAATGAAATTCTACTTGATATCAATCACGCCACGTCGAAACACTTTGACTTGCCATTATTTCAAACTAAACTTAAAGTGGATATATCCATAAGTGGATTGACTTTCGACATTACTTATAGTCACGTAACGTGTGAAGTGGTTATGGTCCTTTAATACGTTTAGTTTTAAACCTAATATGATTAAGGCTAACTCATTAAAATGTGTTACATGAGATTTTATAAATTTCTTTGAAGTTGAAACGATGCATTTGATGCGGTAAAAGTTGTTAACCATAAAGGAAGCCTTTTTAAAATATATATTTTACCACTGAGTTTAGTACTATTCATTAATTATAATTGATATTACTTTGCAATGAATTCCCATGTTACATAGAAAAGAATTTACAATAACTTCTTTTTTGGAATAAGTCATAATTATTGTGAAGATTTAAATTTTAAAATAAATAAATTTATTCACCTTTAATTTTTTTATTACTATAGTTGAAATTTTAGGGTACTTGATTTTGTATTTGTAATCAATTACAAAATCAAAACTGAACTATATGACAATATTTACACATAAGTAATGTAAATTATTTATTACATTTTTATACTCCAGCATTTTAAATTATTTTTTTTAGCACGATGCGTTTCTAAGAAGCTATTACGATTACTTCGTTCCTACTAGACCAAGTTTTACTCAAAAATATGCCAAAAGTTCATAGAACAAATCTAATTTAAGATAGCAGTGCCATAATACACCTTGTTACTATGCCTAGTTTGCATTACATCCATATTATAATTAAAATAAGATGAATGAATGTTTATCTATTTTACTCAATACATTACTTAACAATGATATTCATAGATTGCAAATTATTATAGTGTTATTACACTTTTGTTCATAATAAAACAAAAGAGTTGAAACTATTTAAAAATAATTATTTTTTTAATAAGACTTTTATTTGCATATCATTAGTCTCTGTATATCGTTGACAGACAACCTACTTTAATTAACTTTTATATAACAATATTTAAATTTCATGTTGCAAAAACGTATAAATTTAAAGTCTTATAGTATTGCAGTTGTGCTTTAGGGAAATACACAGTACTATGTACACCACTTCAGTATGTCTGATTGGAAATTATTATGAGCCTCAAAAGTGCTTTCTTTCATAATAATGCTTGTTGGCATTGTCTAGCAACGCCGCGTGCTTTGACTTATGATTAATACTCACAAGTAGTCAAATTAACAAAAAAAAAGTATTTTTTGTTTATAAAAATAAATAAATTAGTGTTGAAATATATCTGTTAACAATTTAGAACAATTTATTTATAAAATTTATATTTTTCATATTAAAACAAATTATGCTATTATTTTTTTATTGATTTTTAAGTTAAAATTGTTACACAATAGTTAGTAAAAAATAAGAAGAGATAAATGTAAAAATTTAGGTCAAATTTTAGCATTTGTCATTAAAAAAAATTCTTGGAAAAAAATCAAACTTATTTTATAAGATTATAATTTTTATGCTATACGAACCATTATTCTTGGTAGGTTGATATTTTGTTACTATGGTAAAAAATCACAATTTTTTCCTAATCTTAAAGTAAATTATAAAATTGTAGTTTAACCAGAAATAAAATTGCAATCAATTGAATGAACTTTATCTAATATAACAAATTACAGCGTACTAAGAAAACTATTTTTCAGAATGTTAACGGTGTACAATGTGTCTGTAGTAAATATTGCGTGTGGAGTAGTCATTATTTAGACCCACTAAAACGATTGTAATCTAAGCGAACCGATTCGTTCCAGATCTTCTGCTTTATAATTATTAATGACCTCACGTTAATGTATTTCACTTTACTTTCTTTTTCATTTTTATTTTTAAAAGGGTTAAAGATAACGTGACCTAAGTGCGGTAGTACACAGGGTTAATCGTGCGGCTCAGATAATGATAATGTAGTGCATTTTAAACTATTAAGTCCTTCAGCACTTACCGTGTTTGATTTGTCTAAGAATATTAATTCAGATTCTTCGCCATCTAATAACACTGAAACTGATTTTTCACCGTCTTCGTCTGTAAAATTAATATAATTATCACGATAATAATTTATAATAAATGTAATATACATATAAGGTATTTTATTATGTTGATAAAATTAGTGTTTCAGATGTACTTCAGTTCTGAAATTTATCATCATTATCTTTGAAAATTTTAGTTGAAATAATTACAAAAACGTTACCTAATTACATTTTCTGTAAAATGTTTATGAACAGAGCATTGTTTTTAATTGATATCATTATACATCTTATGATTTCAACATGTAACTAAGGTTCAAAAGATATTGAAAATATTCTCGTAAAAATTTAACTATTATTTAAAGTTACATATATATTGTATTTATTAAACTGGACAAATGTAAAAACACTAACTAGAAATTATGTCAAAATATTAAAAAATAAATAAATAAACGATTAACATAGTTTAAAAACGAAAAGAAACAAATTTTTCTGGTTGACTCTTTGTTTCTTTTTTAAAACATTCCATCAATTTAATATTGGCGACAGGAAAGAATTTAAGTAATTTATGTCAAACAATAACGATGATTCATTATCATCAACATTATAGCAACCTTACTACTTTATTTTTTACTGTATCATTAAATATAATAAAGCCATATATTATGGGAGTAAAGAATTAACTTTTACAAAATATGGATTTTTCGATTCAAATGACTACAATTATTAAAGTCGTTAAAGTTAAAAGAATTTTGTTAAAGTATTCAAGACACTGCAAATGACATAATTTGATGGATACGTCACTAATTAGTACATAATTTACAAAAAAAAAATATCGCTGTTGCTAGAAATTAAAACTTTGACAAAGTGCAAGTATTCGGAGATAGTTGGATGTTTTTGACAATTAATAAACATCAATTAGTGCTTCGTTCTAAAATACAGAGTAATTACTTTATAAAGGAAACGTGTCACCTTTATGAAGCGTTATTTGCTATGAATATAACGGAAATATGTTTTGTAATTTACTATAGTTTATTCAGTTTAAAAGTTTACCAAGCTTTTACTGATACCACCTTAAACTAACAACTACATTTCCCAAGATTCTTGGCATTTTCTAATTCCAAGTATAATTTTTTGAGCGTTGTACCTTGTGTAATATTCGGGCTTAGAATTCAAAGATTTTTTTAAATTAGAATTGAAGATATTTTAGATTAAAATATAAAGTAGCTTCTTACAATATAAGGGCCGGATTTACATATACATAAGATAAAGATTGTTTACCACTTTAGAAAAATTTATCAAATAATTTGTCTAGTATATAAAATTCTGTTACACAAAATTGTATGCATAGGGTTTTTATAGAGTTGCCATTAAAAAAATATTAATATTAGAATCTAAATTATGCCTTAATCGTACACATATTTTTTTCATGAGGTGTTCAATCCTTATCTCTCCTACTACGCGTCTTTGTGTAAAACATCTTTTAAAAAAAATCCAAATTACGCTTCCCTACCACTTAGTTTTAAATTTTGCGAAACTAAAATTTCGTACCAAAAATTAATGAGATATCGCACAACGATCTTTTACAATTAATATTTTTAGACCAGTATTTTAGTTACAAAGTACTTTTAATATTAAAACGTATAGCCAAGATTTCACAAGGGCTAATGTGCAATCATATGAGTGTCTCATTAGCAACTTTCAAGTGGCTGTCAGCAATGGCGTATTGGATGTTAAAATGCTGAAGACGCTTATTGATACCAACATTATTCAATAAGTGCAAATAATGATATTTCATAATATCGAAGATTCTTTTGAGCTCCGGCTATTAAAATGTTAACTTTCAACTGAAAAAATGTATCACCAAGACAACTAAAATATTTTCAAGTTTTTAGAACTCTTATTGTCACACAATTAATATCAATATGATTTATTGTTGATTTCAGTTAGCTTAACGTGAATAAGCCTGAGAAAGAATTTTTACATTAAAATATACAAATCAAGTGAATTATATAAAGCTTGCATTTTCCGAATATGGTATTATTTACAAAATGTCAAAACGACCATTTAATTGTAAGTAGTCATCAAAAAAATGTTATAATATCTAAATATTAATATAGATATTTTATAGTTATCAGTTTCATTGAAGCATTTGATCTATTGAAAGGATATTTTGTATTTATTATTTGTTATATTTATGGTTTTAAAAGAAACTATTTTTTTTAATTAAATAAAAATAGCTTCTATTCTAAAAAGTATAAAATTTTCATTTATTTTAAGTAATCATTATGAGTTTTAATTGATATAATTAGTTTGAGTTAAAATAAAGTCATGATTTGAAATTTTAATTGTACTATAATCAAATTCATTTAAAAAAGCTTTTTTCCTTTCAATTAGTTTGAATTTTAATATGTAAGAATTTTAACGTTGATTGTAATTTAATAAAAAATATCGTTTCTACACAAATATTTTAAAAGGTTTCATTGTCATTAAAATCACAAGAAATTAAGTGCCGTCCCAATAAACCTTCATAAAGAGAAATTTTCACTACACTCTATTTTCATACCAATGGGTTATTTGAACAGTTTAATTTTGAGTAAAGGTCATTTCGAGCTTTTAGCGGTAGCTACTGAACCTTGAAAGGCCATTTTCAACAAAAAAATACTTTAATATTTCAGACATTTAAAATAACTTAGAAACCAGGCAATATATATATATATGAACAATATCAGACTTAGTAATAGAATAGATATATTATGTAAAACAATCTAAGTATTTTTTAGTACTATAATTATAATAATTATTTTATTTTAACAAAATGTTGTTAATATGTAATATAATAGAAATACATGTCAAAATAATTTTACTACCAAAATTTGAGTTTATTTTATTTAACTCGATTCTTAAATGTTTATGTAATATTTTAAGTTGTACTTTTAGCTCATTAATAGCTTAAATTGGATGCAATCAAAGCGTCATGCAGGATTGTTATATGCAGTTGTGTATTTAGAAATTTATAATGGAGAGTCAAAAAAAATTTTCATGGACACCAAAAAATAAGGTAAATATTATCAATATAATAAAAGATAAAATTTGAAATCACTTCATATATGAAGTGATATTTTTGATTTATTATACATATATATAAATCAATGTATTATGTACATTTTTAAAGATTATAATCCACTACTTATACAGAAATTTCTGGATGAATATTTAATAATGCTAGTCCGTTTAAACACTGCTCGCTCATAGCTGATCTAAAGTTGGTTTTTATTCTTTTAAGCGAAAAAAATGATATTTCTGAAGAACAAGTATTTACAGAAGTTATTGTGAATAATACAATATATACAATGTATTAATAGCTTTAGAATATTTGGAAAATAATCAATTAAAGATAAAGATAATGTTTCCATCATATTTTATTGTTTTGATGATTCATTTATTGGATTGTTAAATTTTTCATATAGCAATCCATATTTTAACTTCCCCATTTAACTCATTTAAATTGCCTGGTAAATCGGACTTAAAAAATAATGTTGCATCCAAAATCTGAGATATGTTATTATCAATGCAATACTCAGATACGATGCTTTTTAAATTTAATATAATATTTTTTGTATGAAATCTATGTATCATCACTGTAATTAAATAATCAAGATATGAGTAACAAATGAAAGCTTTATAGTAGTTTTCAGGGCTATTTGTCTTTGTTGACATATTAGAACATTTCGCTGTTTATTTGTCAATTGTGGAACTTGAACTTCAACACTAAGGTAATTAGTAATGTCCTGAACTATTTTTTTAAAATTTCCTTAAAACTAAATTTATTTCGCTGATTTTTTATAACAGTAAAAGCAGCAATTATTTAAATTAGTGCTTTAGAAATGTCAAAAGTTGGTCATTGAAGTTATTTGAATAAAGATAATGTACAATTCATAACATTTATGAAAATATGTAATACAATTATAAAATCAAATTTTAAAATGGAAGTGTATACTAAAACCATTTACTTTAGTTAATATGTATGTCATCTGAAATTTTAATTATATATTCTAAAAAACATAAAATTGCAGGGAGAATTTGGTTAAATCTAATGAATACTTTGTGACGTACAACCCATGTACAATAGATTCATGGATTGTACATAGATTTAATAATATGTTTGTTTTAATACTTGGACAATGTTCGTTAATTTTACTTTTGACACGTTTCGAATCGTTTAGGAGAGTCTTTAATAAAGTTGATTACCTTTTCAACAATTTCAATTCTCGCAGGTTGAAATGAAAATGACTTAACTAAAGCTAAATTCGAACAAAAATTTAACAGCTCAAATATAGATTTTCCTATGGCATCTCTACTTAAATCAATAATTTTTAAAAAATTTGTTTAAAAATATTGGTTTATATATGTACAATGTACATTGTACATATATAAACCTTTACTAATATTAGTAATTTCGTCTGCTAATATAGAAAAGTATTCAGTTTTAATAACTTTTGCTATAATATTTTTTACTAAAATATCCCCACAATATTTTATAAAATACGAAAAACTTTTAACTGTTCAATCATTGGTGGTCATTTTTTTATAAATTATATATAAATAAATTTCAAATATAAAGTGTAATTATAAAACCAATAATAATAAAAGAATAAAGCAATCACAAACATTGAATTGGCCACATATTCTGAACCAATTTTCATTTATAAAAAAACTTACTGGTTATTTTGGGTTTGGTTTTAGATTTTTTTAATAAATAATCTGTTATTTGTTATGAATTTTTTTAATTAAAATTTTTATTAATTAAAAGATTTCTTTATAAATTAGTGTGTATCTCTACACAATAAACACTTCAAAAATATTAATGTCGACATATTTCTTAACTACTGTTGCAGTTGAACATTAACTGGTAGGAGTAGAGAATTAGTAGAAGTATTGCATAGGAGAAAAGTTAATATTTTCCGTGTACAGGAAACTAAGTGGAAGGGATAGAAATCAATGGAAATATGTGAGTGGAAGTAATAGATCTCAGATGGATTATTTTATGTGGAAGAG